GCCGCAGCCAGCTGCTTTTGTCTCCAGCAGACTTTGAAAGTTACTGAATCTGCCTAGGGAGACAGAAAAGCGGCCCACACCCTGCCCCAAAGGTTACGATCCATGTCTGACTCTAGGCTTCACTCTAACAGAGGAGCCAACTGATCCCAGCTTTGCTAGGATGGGAGGGCAAGGGCAGCTCCAAAAGCTGGGCCCGAATCACTTCCTCATGAAGAAAAGGTAAAGTTCAGGGCATTTTATCAGTCTGGCCTTAGTGGCTCCAGCTGCCCCCAACCACTTTATCAAGCCTTATATCTGGGCCTGTGCTAGGAAAACAGCATAAGAACCAGGCGAGTGTTCTGCACGCACCACGAGGAGCAGGAAAGGAGAGGTCTCAGGATAGAGATGGGTTACTGCTGGAGCTAGCTGAGCATCAGAATCAATCACTTTCAACATTTCAGCAGGAGCACCAGAAGTCCAAGCTAGGCATAAGTTTTCTGCTGGTAAAGAAGAGGGATGCGGTAGCTTACAACAAGAATAAAGAGGGGCTGTCACCTGCTGGCGCTCCAGAAACTGGCACAGGATTAGGACAAAGCTGCATGCTTGAGAAGCAGAACAGCCTCTTCTCTTTTAGATACATCTAAAAGCAGAGAAATGGACTGGTCCAAAACACACTGGCAACCATAGGCTAGCCAGTGAAACCTGCCTCTGCCAGGAAAGAGAGAAGCAGCTGTCCCACTGAGCAGATCTCAGCGAGACCTCACCTGAGGCCTCCAGATCATGCTGCCTGCTTATGCCCAGAAGACCAGTCCTGGTGCCAGACATACTCACCAAGCCATGAGCCAGGTTTCACTATGACTCCACAGGCACCTACAGACGGGCCAATCCACAACAGACAAACCATTTCACGCCTCCAATTCCAACTCCAGTTGCTCTGGAGAAATGAGGCTGGCAAGGGTGCCTGCTGAGATGTTTCCCAGAGGGGCAGATGGCAGTATGGCAGCCACCCACACAAAGAAGTGACTGCAAGGGATGTGCACACCATCGTGGCCTGGGAGTCCTCCCACTCCAGGAGACATAATACCACAAACCTGGGTTGGGCTGTTGCACAGCATCAGCACTGCACCATCTTGGGGCAGTCAGTCCATCCTGCTGTGGAGAGCAACAATCCTCCTGAGGGAGCCGTGCACACCCTGCAGACAGCCAAGCACTGCTGCGTAGTGTGGGTCTCCCATCATGGGTGGATCACCTGACTGAGGGCCAGGACTAGAAAAGGACTTGTTTAAAGAAAATCAGTGGTGGAATTATTGATCAGGAAAGTGTCTGTAGGAAAAATGTTAAGGTCACACTTCTAGTTTCATCTTGGCAGAATTCAGCTAATATGAAATACAGGACTTATGAGCAATAAAAGTTACAGCAGGACTAGAGGACACTTCCAAGCAATGCTCTGCAGCAGCACCTCAGGACAGGAGAGTCAGGTTACCTGGAATCTCTTAACATCCCTCCATTTCAGACATCCATTTAATGCAAAGGAAAGCCTGACCTTGCATAAACTACACTGGCTGTGGATTTGGGAGGCAGAACCATTTCCCTGGAAGCAGGAACATTTGCACGTGGATGCACTCCAGCCCCTGCAGGCTCTCCACTCCTGCTCTCAAGAGCCACTAACAGCAGGCCAACCTTCTCTTCTGATCGGGAACCCATCGAGATACAACACACGTGGTCCTTGTGCTGAGATGATGAAAACAGGACCAACAGGGCCTGCAGGACAGCAGCACTTAGAGCAACTGCTCCTCTCCAGCACAGGCCGGAGGTGCTCCCAGGCCACGCTGCTGCCCAGTCCCCGCTGAGAATCGCTGGGCTGACCAGGACACCTCCCCGCAGGCAGCAGCGGTGGGGACACAGAACGAGCCCCTCAACACTCCCGAGACTGGGGAGCAGCGGGAGCTCCTCCAGCAGGCAGCGGGAGCGAACCGCCCTGCCGGGAGCCGGCACATGGGCCGCTAGTTGAGGGGGCTCCTTCCCGCTGTTCCCAGCGTCCCGCGGGAAGATGACGCGGACACCGCGGCAGACCCCGCTCGCTCCCCGCGGGCCCGCTCCCCCTCGGCCCCCCGCGCACCTGGTGGCGGAAGGCGGCGCCGCGCAGCAGGTCCCGCAGCAGCCCGAGGCCGATGTCGCGGCTGGCGCCCTCGGTGACGAGGTGGAGGTGCAGCACATCGGCGGCGCCCAGGCGGCCGTGCCGCAGCAGCGAGCGCAGCGCCGCCTGCGCCTTGTCTCGGAGCGCGGGGTTGCGCTCCGCCTTGGTGAACATGAACAGGAGGTGCAGCCCGCGGGGCCCCGCGCCGGCCGGGGCGGGCGGCGTGGCGCGCAGGCGGCGGGTGGCGCTGGAGAAGGTCTCGCCGCCGCCGCCCAGGTAGTAGAAGGCGCAGACGGCCAGAGCCGCGGCCGCCGCCAGGGCCCCGCCCGCCCCGGCAGCAGGGCGGGGACGCGGCCGCGCCGGCCCCGCACAATGACACACTACACACACCACGGTCAAGTTTTAGATACAAAGTCTACAGCCGTACATAACGCGAAGGAGAGCGGAGTATACAGTCTGTACAATTACAGCTCAAGGGGAGGGGAAGGGTTTTTTTACATTTTACTGCTGGAATGGTTAAAAAACACCGAGTACAGAGGAACGCGCGGAGGGGAAAAAAAAAAAAGTTCATTACTTCGGAGAAAGTAACGTCTGTGCTTGAGGAAACGATGATTTCATGGCGATTTCTGTCAAAACATGGAAAACTTAGGCTCCTAACAGAAAAGTGAGTGGAATATTTCCTCCTCTGTCATCTCCTTCCATGGGAAGAGAAACAAGAAAATACTGTATGCAGAAAGATAAAGCAAGCATATGAAAGGGTATATACCAAAGTGGTACACTCATCCTTTTCCCCAGTAGTGCCTCTCCAGAGTTGTCCCTGTTTTAAAACTGTGCCTTTGTGTAAGCACGGATGCAAGGCATATTGGCTGTCAGAATGCACAAGCCATAAACTCCAACTTGGGAAAAAGTGTCCATAATGAATGGGGCAGAGATTGTAGCCTGAAAAATTGATTCTCAAAATACTTTGTGTATTGAAGAATCAGAATAATCAGCTAAGTCCTTTTGACACTGTAAAAATATCACATCCTTTGTACTTACATATTATTATTTGCAGTTTCATCAAAGGGTCATTTCATAGTCACTGTGTTATTTGAGATTCTCAAGATGAAGCAGCAGAGGTAACATCCACAATTTAAAACAGATGGCTGCAGAGAAGCACCGAAATCCTGGAAACATGACATCAACCCTCCACTTGTTCTAGTTCTCACCTTTTTAGTTTAGTGCTACAAAGTTTATGCTCCATCCAGGAGACCTAGTAATTTGGACAACACGTGTACTGATGTCATAATGCAAAACAGGAGAAACTTCCTCTTGTACAGGGATTTGCTGACAGCAGTTGGAAGGTCTGGTTGCATTTTCTAAAACTATTTCAGCTCAGTATACAAACATGTAAAATATAAAACCCCACAGTGTGAAAAATGCAGTATTAATACAGGATCCTTTAGCACTGTAACATTAAAAGACACAAATGGTACAATCTAAGATCTCCAAAATCACTGCTGCCACTGATATCAGTGACTTCCTGGATCAGGTCCTAATGGGCAGAGAGGCTGAAGTCCACAATGTACTAATGAGCATCTGGAACACACATCCATCCAATTGCAATATGGGCTGTTTGTGAAAGCAAAGAAATACCTCTACAATCCAAATTCACCTTCACCCAAATTCATGTGGACAAATTCCAATTGTCTAACACAGGTAGTGGCATAATTCAATTGATCATTCAGAATTTAAGTTTATATGCACTGTGCTGAAACTAACATAAAACTTGAATCCTTATGAACAGTCAAAACAACTGATACCACTAATGAGCCAGCACAGACACTATTTTAATCAACGTGCAATGGACATACATTACATGTCTGAAATCAAGATGCATTAGAATGTAAGCTGAGTTCCAAGAGACTTTTGGAACACACGATCTATAAATAGGAAAGATATTATACTATACTTCAATGGGCTATCTTATACAGAAAATTACTCAAAATCCATGTGAAAGATGGTTTTAAAATGTGTTAGGAATCTTCTGCTTTGTCCCTCACTACTATGTTTCATACCTAAAGAGAAACATGAACTGGAATTGAATCTTTCCATTTCCTGGTAGAAAGTACAAGATGTTAACCCACAATGGAACCTTACTGTCTACTATTCCACTTAGACTCCCCTTGTAATAGAGAAGGCAGTTTCCTAATATTACTGAGCAGAATATTAATATGAGTCAAAACTCGATATGGAATCCAGATCTTCAGAGCTGTGGTGATAATCACACTACTGAGGGCTGAATCCTGTGTGTCACAGAGGCCCTGGAGCACGGAGCCTGCCAGAGCCTGGTGAGACTGAGCCATCAAACGTAAAGGTACATTCATTTCTGCTGCACCTGACCTGAAAAAGGCTTTAACTGAGTGCAATTTATACTGGACATCCTATCATACCCAAAAGGACAGGGGAACAAGGCTGAGGATCACAAGTGACACATCTGCTCCCTAAGCCATTGAAACTCCAGAGCTCCTGACAAGTGACACCACCTGTCAGTCAGGTGGGATTCATCCTTTAGCACACACAGACTGATAGTGCTTCCCAGACAGATGAGAGTCAGGAACACAGCACGTGGACATGTAGAGCTACAGGGAAGCAACTTCTCAGTCTAGAGAAATCATCCTGCAGAATTTGTCACAGAGATTTTGTAGCAAGGGAGGAAATCACCAGTAAAGATTTGAAATAAGTCTCTCAGACCTGTTCTCCAGCAGCCTGGACTGAGACAGCAATTATGCCACTAAGCTTTAGGCAGCTTTACATTCCAGCAAATCACACTGCCTGCCAGCCAGGCTGGGAAAGACAAACATTTAGAAAAACCTATGTCTGAGGTGTATATTTTGCAGCTAGGAAAGGCAGTGTGGAAAGACAGGCTAGGAAAGACAAACATTTAGAAAAACCTATGTCTGAGGTGTATATTTTGCAGTCATATCTTACATTGTCCCATCTATACTCCAGGAATCTTCCTCTAACATCTACTAAAGCACCCATTTGCTGGTAAATGCTGCTGATTAGGAAGTATATTATCATTTCATAGGCAACTTACTAAAAATTACTGCTTACAGGTGATATCCTTAAGTTTCTTATTATTCAGACTAAATGTGCACTTTAAATGGGCAGAATCTGCTTTTCCTACCATAATTAGACCACGTACAAAGCAAGAACTGTCTTGTAAGATTATTCTGCTTGGAAATAAAATCCACTGGACGATTCTACAACACTACTAATTTTGTAGCAGTAATAATATGCAGACTATTACACATTTGATGCAAAATTATAAATGTTTGAAATACCTTCTTAAAACGTAACATGCCAGAGAGTTTAACTTTACCATAGTTTACAGATTTCAATTTGTTTTATCCCAGTTTTGCTTGTCTTTTCACAGAGAAAAGCCAATTCATTTCCTAAATACACTTAAACAGCAGGTTAACAATGCCACAGCTATTAGGATTACTGGAAACTCACATTGATACTATGTCATCTAAAAACTCTGCTTAAGCTGTCTCCATAGGGTAGAGAAATAGAGGATAAAGAATTGCATCTGCTGGTTTGAGGTTTAGAAGGATTATTATCTAGGTATAAATAACCTGATATATAAGCATTTATCTAGAGACACCATCTATACATGCACAAGGGCAGAGTGGAGCTCACTACCACATAAAGCAAATTGTCTTGCTGCCCTCACAACACAGTTGGAGACTGTGCTCATTCATTACTTGACAGAAATGTGCACTGAAATTCTAGTTTTTCCTGTGCTCATCTTAGTTTAGACAACACATAAACATACACATCATTGCAAATTATATAAGGGCTACTGCTTCCTGATAGAAGGGATTGCCCTAAACTGAGAGTGGCTGCAAGACATGAGACTTTTATACTGAGCTTAGGGCTTGTAGTGAGAACAGCAAAAAGTAGAAATAGCCTTTGTACAACTATTCTACACAAACTTCGTTGGCTCAATATTTACTTTCGTGTCTCACATTTCAAGTTTTCAAGTCAAAATACTACAAACAAACCCCACATCATGTCCAAAAGGATTCAGTTTATTTTTCATTAAAGGTTCCACGTGCTCATTTGGAAGGATACTTGCTGCACTTAAAGTTTAATTTAAGAGGAAAAGAAAAAAAAGGAAAATGGACTGCTCTTAGGAATTTGGTCCCCAGGATACATCCCTTTGTGACTGACCTGCAGTCACCAGCATAAAGGCCAGCCTGGTGCTTGAGCTTCCACTGTGAAAGAGCTTGCAAAAGAGCAGGAGTTATCTGTTAAGAACAGCCTACCTCTAAGCAGTCACCGCAGGAACAAGAGAATCTGTTGAGCTGCAGTCCCAAAAATGGAAGGACAACTCAGTAAATCATTGCCCAAATTCCCTTCCAAACAGTCCCAGAAAATGCAACCCAGACCTTCTTGTCAGAGGCACATTCTTTATGGCAGCAGGGGGACAGATGACAGTGGGTGACGCTGGGTAGCAAAGCCGCTGTGAGCCCCTGCAGCCGGAGCCCAGCCCTGCCAGCCCCAGGGCGAGCTGCCAACGCGGCCGAGCGACAGGGGCTGCTTTGCTCTCAGCTAGCAGGGACTCAGGGGCTCCAAACACCTTCAGCTGCTGAGGTATATGTACTGGAGAACATCAACCAACTCATACACTTCCCCAGCTACCACAATTCTAAAGCTACATTGGAGTGGTCATTTTATCCAAACTATCTAACAAAATGCATACAATTCATTCTGTTATAGTAAAAAAAGACTTGCACTATAAGCTTCAGGTTCTTTTCCTTCTTGATACTTAAGACTTGTGGGAATCTGACTGCTGGAAGCGGTTTAACTTCTCTGGATTATTTGATGCCATTTGAGAAAAGTCACGAAAAATGTCCTGATAAATTTCATCTCCTAGGTAGAAAAGAAAAGAGAAACAGTTTTAAACATTTGTAATAGTCAACAGCACCCACCACTGCACAAATGCCCTACTGTGCTATCAATTACTGTGTAACACTTAGTTCATGTATGAAGACTGCTTCTAGATGGAGTGATGCTGATGTGAACTCTGAGGGACTGGTTACTCGCATGCATGTTCTGTAGAAGCAAATTAAACAAAGCCAAATACCTGAAATAGTACCTCACAGGCAGCCACACAGAGGAAAGTTCAGAGTTAGAAAGGAAAAGTTAAAGCACTTTAAAGCAACTTAAAAAGAAAAAAAGTTATTTATTAGCTGTTAAAGAATAAAACCCTTGTTTTTGCAAGGAAACGTTAACCAAGATTCTCTACAGGAAAAAAAAAGAATTATGGCATAAATAAAGATTAACTTGGAAACAGAGATCAGAATTCTTACAGCAAAGCAGAATTCTCCATGAAAGAAACAATCAGCAAGCAATAATATATATATTAAAAAAGCAATATTAAGTAGATAAATTATTGTTCATAAATTATTTTTGTCTATTACTTCAGCAAAAATAAAATTTCCACATTCATTTCATCTACATCTTTCATTACATTTTTCAGTTTGATCTGTAAGAACAATGATACTTCTCCTAAAAATCTTTTTTTTTTTTTTTTAAATCTTCACCCTTTGTGCTTAAACACAACTCTACTACTGGAACATATTCCAAAATACGTTCCCCCCTCCCTGTCTACACAGGAAAACACATTCAGGAGTGATTACTTCTTGAGTCACTGCCAAGTAATCCTTTTGCCACTTTAAAATGGACATTTTTTCATTCATTTTCACATTCTTTCATTTATTGGAGCATTCTGGGCCTTGAGTTCAAGTTTTGTTTTAAAACACTAACCATACCCTTTTGTCTTCAAAAGGAATGAAATACATCAAACACTGGGTTGGGTCAGGAGCTATGTAGCCATCCAAATTTTAGAGTCTTCCCAACACAGATGGCCACACAGGACACAAGATCCCAGCACTACTGTTTCTTGCTGACAGCTTGATTAATAGCATGACAAAGAAATCAACCCAAAATCTCTCTCATCGTGTACATCAAATATGAAGATTTTTTTTTTTCTAACATGATTGTGGAAGAAAAGAATGTTTTTGTGCTTAAAAGTTTGCACTACTGGGAAAAGTTACATTGTTTTGTTTTTCAATTTTTTAATGCACATTTGCAATGTTAAAACTATAATTCTTTTGGAGATGAGACTCCATTCTTTTGAAAACACTTTCACAAATAATAACTGACCTTCCAGAAATATTTAACAGGCAGTAACAATTCTTCCCAGACTTTAAAAGATGAATACATTCAATACTGCTCTACTAGGAAAAGTCAGTTCCCTTTTGGTTTTCAGATTTAATTTCAAGTATGGTGTCCCTGCCCATGGCAGGGGGGTTGGAAATAGATGATCTTTAAGGTCCCTTCCAACCCAAACTATTCAGTGATTCTGTGTTCTAGAGATGAAGCAGGCACAGGATAGGTTTGATTGTAACAGCTTGTGAGAACTGCTTGCTCTGGGAGACCAGCACAGAATGGAGCTGTAACATTCACCAAAAGAATAGCTCTGAAGGGCAAAAGCAGAATTAGGCTTCTGTGTTAAAAGCAATTATGCTTTTAATACAGAAGTGGGTTCCACTGGTGAATGAAAACTGCAGTTCAAGTTGCCACACTTGGTTCTTTCAAATTAACTTGAAAGAAGAAAAAGCTATTTTTGAAAGATACACTGTGGCTCTGGTTTTGTCTCTATTACATAACAAAAATATTACATACAAAAATAGACTAAAATAAAGTGCCCCTTTAGTTTGTATGTTGCATTAATATGCTTGATACTGTAAACCTTATCATTATTTTAAAATTCTACTTTAAAATTGAATTCTGGAAGTTCCCTTTCCAAGCAATGTTTTCCCTAAAGTGCAGATTATATGTACAAAAATACTGCAACACTGCTTTACCATTTCACACCAGAGTAACTCAAAAGGCACACATCATACATTCAAGAAAAGGTAGGAAGAAAAATTAGCAATGCTAATATCAAAGAGTTAGCAAGACGTACTGTAGCACCAGGAGATGAGCACTCAAGTATTATACAGAAACAGCACTACGGTGCATATGGCTTCTACCACCAGAAATCACTTTTTAAAGCTGGTTTCAGCTAGCTCCCATTCCAGGAATGTTTTGGAAGACCAACTGTACCTTGCAAAGCAATATATTCATTCTCTCAGTAGCTCAAACCAGCCATATATATTTAAATTATAAATTTTGATGCCATTAGCTACATGAGCAATTGTTTATCAGCTGCATTGCTAGAGCTGAGAAGTAGGCAGTTGGCTTCACTCTGATGACAGCAAACTTATACAATGACATTTACCCTCACACAGCTACCAGCAAACCTACAATTGCCTTGAAAATCCTTATTTTCTTCTAAAATCATAGTTTTGGAACACTGGAGTTCTAAAGTAAGGACAGTGCAGATAATTTAACATGTATAAGGAGTGAAAAAGACCTGCATCCTTCAAAACCACAGAAAAGTGTAACACCTCATGACAGCAGATTCTGTGCTTACACTGACACAATCCTTCTACAGCAGACAAAAACATTCAAAATACTCAGATACTGACTCCAACTTTTAAAATGAACTTCAACAAGTACCAGAGTGAAGAGGGCAGAGCTGTGCTATCCAAAGACACAGTAAGATCTGTCCGGGACTCTGTGCTCTGTGCTTAATTCCAGAAGTTATTCTCATGAAGCCTCCCCCTGATTTTGGGCAAGTTCTGCCTGTTGTGGCAAATGTACTCCTCACTGTCAATCTCACCTTACCAGCTGTAAAGTGTCTGGATGAGATTGCATCAGCTGCAGTCTCTAGATCCTACTGCTCCAATCTGGTAACAGCCCCCTGCCCAATCCTCATGACTCAGTGGAAAACACATAAGGGCTTTATAGGAGTGAACTGAGAGCACTCAGCACTCAACCTGAAAAACAAGGTTCACCTTTCACTTCTGCCAGGAACAGCAGGGTGTTTGTAGCTGTCTAACTTCACAATCAAATGTGCCTTCATTATTGGTACTTGCATGATATTAAATTACCTTCCTATGGAAGCAAATATCACATCAGAACATGGTGTAAATTAGGTCTGAGTGCCTGAGAATAAAGTTGTACATATGCATTAAATATAATTTGTTACTTTCTAGCTGGAGTTGACTCAAGTATCTACCAGCTTGTATTTGTTTTTTAACCAAACAGAAAGAAACTCTGCATACAAAAATACATACTTAAGAACGACTGCTTTGTTTCTTATTAGTATCTTAACAAATAAAAATATTTAAAAATAAAGTTTAAGGAAATAATACTTTCCTATTTTTGTCTGGAGGCAGTTTGAAATATTTGATGTACATTTTTTACATTGGTGTGCAAGCACTTTTTTTTTTTTCTTAAAAAAGTGGACCATTCCACAGGAAGGAGAATGGTGTCCTGGAATAAGATGAACTCTTCAATAGTCTCTAAGTAAGCTGAGTCAGAAAGCTGCTACTAAATAATGTCAGGTAAATCCTAACATGACACAAATGTCAATGAAACAGCAATAGGAGAAAACTGTGGACAACTACCAGCAAAACAGGGTGGTCATGGCTGTAGTAACACACTGCTATAATGATGCTCTTTAACCAGTCTCCTTTTAGGTTTCCTAAGTACTCTGACAGTCACAGCACTGAATTTCAATGAAGCTTTAGAATGTAGTGGTTTATAAAAAACACTGTTGTATGAAGCAATCTTAAATTTCCTACAGACACTAAGAATCTAATTGTAAACTGATAAATTCCTGTATACACTTCTTATACTGCATTTCAGTGTGGTTATTAGAAGAGTATTGACCTGGCTGCCCATAGAGTCCTTCTGATTCACGCATTTCTTCATTCATCCTTGCTAAACGCAACCTGCCATTCAGAAAACAAAAGGAACAGTGTCACCTTTATAGCACAAAAAAGACTACAATGCAAGACCTACAGTGCTCTCCTGAATCTCACATCAAACAGGTCATCTACAGATAGAGTATTTTGATTTTTCTTTTGTTTCCCCGTTTTTATGTACAGGAATTTTGACATTTCTTTTATTTTTAACTTGAAACAGAATAGCAAAATCTAATTTATCTAGTCAGAAAACAGAATGTACAACTCACAGTGTTACAATATCTGCATTTGCAGCTTCCACTGCTATACTCAATGGATCTTTCCCATCTTCATCCGTGGCATGCTGGTTTGCTCCTCGTTTTAGGAATAAGCACACTTGTCTGTTTAGAAAAAAAAAATGAAGAATACTTTTGACAATAAAGGAAAAAAGCTAATAAAGTCAGGCTAGATACAATGTATATAACTTAAATCATCAAAAGTCTCATCTATATCAAAATAGTGCAGTTCAGCTAGAACATGTTAACAGAGTAGTAAGCAAACCATTTATTTAATCCACATTAGAAAACACGTGTGTTTTGCTAGTGGACGAGACTGCTAAATCAAAATATTATTTCCTCTCTCACAACCAGAGCTTAAGAAAAACTCGTATCATCTGAAATAGTATTAAAATATCAGAATATCTGGGGCAATGAAGAAGTTTGACATGAACAACTACAGTCAAGGATGGCCATGTACAAATTGTGGGGCAGTGAGTTACCCGGTGTGTCCTAGAACTGTGGCATGGTGCAGGGGCCCCCTTCCTTTCATGTCTCGGATGTTCACGTTGGCCCCATTCTGCAGCAAAAATTCACAAGTAACCAATGAACCCTACGGAATGAAAACAAACAAACAACTCAGCACCAGATCTCTAGAAACAAACCAAACCTCTTCTGCCTTCTCACTACTGAGCCACCCAGCAAAGGAAACAAAAAGGAGTTGCTTCCAGCTTTAAACACTACTAGACATAGAATTCCAAAAAAAAGCATTAACAGGAAAAAAGTATTTCAGAAACTCTTGAAAGAACACTGTAAGCATAACTTCAGCATCACATTATCATTCATAAGGGGGGAAGCAAGCAGCTCAAAAGGAACAGTGACACAGAAATCTCATTATTTCCCTTGCTCTCCTCCCCCATCACCAGTGCTGTAGATCACATACCCCTCGCACTGCCTGAATCAGTGGTGTTGCTTTGTTTTCTTCCACGTTGACCCAGTTTACTTCAGCTCCATGAGCCAATGCTTCTGCCATGTGAGGAAGATTTTTCTCAAAGGCAGCTTGATACAACTGCAGTCCTGGACTAGGCTGCTTGGAGTCACAGAACACTGGAGACTCTTGCTTGTCTCCTTCTGAAAAGAAAAAAAAATTGCTTACCTAATTCCTGTTAAAACATCATTTCTCTGGCAATAAAAGCTCAGCTTTTGCAGGATGCTATGTATTGTTGACCCATTCTGCCAGGGGAATTCACAGCTGCCTATAGTGCCAGTATTCAGGCACAGTCTCTTCACAGAACTATTATTGCACAGAAAACAGTCTCTCCACAGTAATGGCACATGTGTATACACTTCAATCTACATATTCCATGTAATTTCTAAGAAATTGTTTACGGTCTGGAGTGTGTTTTACTGTAACTGCAGCATATGAATAAAACTCATTTTCTGTGAAGATGTAGTCATACAAATATGTCTTTATCTGAAACACCTGAGTATAAGGCTAATACTGTTCTGGCCTAATTTTTGTTAACAGATACCATTGTCATTTACCAATTACTTGCTGTGGCTATAATCTTTTGGACTAAAGCACAGTCTTTCTCTTCATCTCAGTAATGGTTATATGGAGTGATGGGAGTCCGGGACATAAAGATGTTGTTGCATAAAGACTTTTGTGAGTTACAGCATCATAAATATTTCTACAATATAATCAAAAAAGATCCAAGCCACATGCTGCCTGCTTGCAATAACACCTGTGAACTACTGAATTTAAAACATACCTTAAAAGAGTGCTTTCATGTAGAATAATAGGTCTGGTTTATAAACCAATGCTTTGAAAATTTTGAGAAGCCATACTCAATATATCTGTCAGAACAGTATGCTAAAATTAGCAAGTAATTTCATTCATTAACTTAGAGAACTTCCGAGTTGAAGGAATGATATTTAAAGACTTGGTCAATTCCACAAAAATAAGAAACAGAAAAAGTAAGCAAGAATGCACAAATAACACATAAAAGCCTACTATCTGTGACTTGAGGAGTTCTATCTCTCTGGATTTATTTATTTATAAAAGGATCATGCATTTGGCATCAGCCACATCTGAATGGAAAAAACCATAGTTCTTTGAACCCATTTAGAAGGATTAAATGTAATTTTTGGTAGCAAACCCAAAAGAAAGATCACTCAAGCAAATTTTACCTTTGTTAAAAGCATTTCAACCAGGATAGCAGACATGAATTATATCACCAAGCATTAATCTTTTTTACACAAAAAGATTTAATCACTTGGTAAAAAAAATGTTGCCAAGTGATTAAATTTTCATCTTACAGGGCAAAGCCTAACACACCTGGTTCATACAAACTGTTGGCTGATATAGTAGAGGCAAGGTGTTCTCTGCTGTCATCAGTGCTTGGCTGGATCCCACTGTCACTGCTTCGGACTGTTTTGGGGAGAAACTGCAATTACTACGCAGAGCTGAAGCTACCTGCTCCTCACAGATACCATGATAATAAAGCAAGCTCTTATACTTGGTCCTGAACATAACTTTAAAAAAATGGCTTGTTCTTGTTCAATATTCTTAACGCATCCATGGAAAAATATGAAGTCATATTTTGTAACCATAACATTTACAATAATAATATTAAATGTCAAAGATAACTAGAAATGAAAAAAAAAATCAGGATAAGTAAAAAAGCTTAAATTATTTCATGAAAATACTAAGCAATGCAGCAGCCTGGAGACAACAGATTGAAGCAGGGAGATGGCCACAACACACAATGGATCACTAGTGCACACAGTGAACACGCCACAGCTGTAGTACTTACTACTACGGAGTTTTGAAGAGGTATCAAAGTAGGAGAAGAGTGAATCAAGCTCATCAGGACAGAACAGAGACTCCCGCCTCGCCTCGTCGCTACTTACAGCAACCGCTGGGACATGCAGGTTAGCAAAGCACAAAGCAGGCAGTAAGGAAGGGACAGGGCAGGAAAGAAGGTTATTGGAAAAACCAAGAAGGATGAAAATACCAAGGAAAGAAGGTGGTTAATATGATTCTGAGTTATAAGCATCCCCATTCCAAATCCTTCCCCATGTAAAAAAGCATGTCTCTGAAGAAGTCTTTTCTTCCCTACACTCTACACTAGGCTACAGCCCATTAAAAAAACACATTCCATAGTCTCTGCACGAGGCAGAAGTCAATTAATATAAAAATATGTTACCTTAAAAAGAATATGGGTAATACAGCTAAGGAGAGAAGTGTGTAAATACCTTTTTGGGATGCTGCACCTTGCTCCCCTGCCAAAAGGGATTTTTCAGGGCCACTGTGCCTTTTCTCTTCCTGACTTGGAGGCAAAACTTTTGTTCCAGGCTCAGGCAGAGGTACTGATGCAGCTTGCTTCTCTACAAACTTTCTTTCCACATATTTTGCTCTGATGTATGCCTCCTTCTCCTGCCTGTCATATACAAAATTCCTGGAGTTAGTAAGCCTAATATTTTAGTATTTTCATGTAGTAAAAGAATATCTATTTTGTACTAAAGTCAGTAACCAAAATTGTAGCTTGGCATTGCACATAAGACACACCTATAGCGCATTGTCAGAAAGATGGAAAGCACACTGTCACTTTCTGGATTCTTGATTAAATTTTGCATAAGGCTCAAAAGAAAGTAATTTTGTTAAGTTCACAAATATGTATTTACTTTTAGACAGAGACTTTGGAAAGTGATATGTGGAAGAAATAAGCATTAGTTCTTCTATGTTAACTGTATTAAACCTTTTTACAGGTTTATGTTGTTAATAACCTACTAATAAACATATATTTAGTTTCTAATGTAAATATAAATTGCAGCATTTGTTACAGGAACATTAAGATTACACAAGAAAACAATAACAAGCTCTAGGTAGGCACAGCCATCAGTTCCATATCATATACTGAAGCATTTTTCTTTGTAACCTGAGGTTATCAGCTTAAAACACAACAGCAGTTGTGTCAAACTGATAAAAGGGGCTGCAATTATTGCATTGAAACTGCTGAAAAGCAGTTATCACTAGAAGGAATATCTAGCAAATCTCCTACTTTGTTTATATTATCATCACTGTCTCCAAATTGCCAACACTTCATAAAATGCAGTTTTCTACACTATAAAACTGCTAGGCAGCAAGCAGCACAGAACTGGTAAGGTAGTAAAAAAGAAAGTTCTAAGAGACATCCTGTACAGCAGCACAAAGCATTGGGAATCCACCTTCAAACACAGATTAGCATTAGAGAAATAGAAGACAGCAGTACAATGATTTGAAGGCTGCTGTAAAGCAGCACAGCTCATGTACAATGTAGGTAGGAAGATGAGAACATTCTGAGGATCAGGGAACAAAAGTCAAATGGAAGAACAAAGTCACTGTAAACAAAAAGGAACAGCTACAGGCTCCTTCCAGGAGCACTCACACACCAAGTATAGCTGGCTGAGCTGGTACCCAGCAGAGGGGAAAGAAAATCCACATGTCCACAGTGATGCTCTAGTGTCATCAAAAGAAGGGAGGGAGTGAGAACACACACAAAAAAAGAACAAATGAACAGCATAAGGGACCAACAGAAGGACTGCCCAATAAAGAAAGTGAGAAAAGGGAGAGAAACAGGGAAATGAGTACACTAAAGGAGTGTAACACAGTTAAGTGGCAGCATCTTTTACAGGTGGAGGCTGAAGGAAGCAACAATAAAAGGAAGCAACAGGCACTGCTGGTAAAATACTACCTTTGACTTCCAGATTGTGGCTTCTTTACTCCCACTTTTTCCAACTTCGCTTCATATATTCTATTTATAACATCATTTCCCAATTCACACATAAGCTATAAAGCAAAATGAATAAATTCAAATATAGTTGCAAAAAGCTTTATCTACCTATTCAGTTGTTTTTAATCTCACTCAGTCTATGTTTACAACTTAGTGTTTCTACTGGTAAAAGTACACTAACAGAAATAAGCATGGGATTATATGATAATAATGAAACAATCAGTGAATACAGAGACCAAATTCTGAGTAAAGTAAGCAAAAAAACTAGTAATTTTTAAAGTGCTTGAAAAACAACCACCAGAATGACACCTGCAGGCCTCATTAACAAAGGTGCTTTTCCACCAGCTTTGCTGGGAGCTGTTCTTAGCCCATCAGCAAGAGACAGTGCAATCAACTGTATTCCACCTTACCCAATGGACATAATCTGATACAACTACAGAAAAGGAACAAAGACAAAGGCCTGCTTACAGGAGAATTTAACCTTATTGATTGCAATGAACAGATTTCTTGTTTTTAATACCAGGTAGAATACTTAGTTCTGGTATTCACATAAACAGTACAAGAGGTACAGCTTTTTTTTTTTCAAGTGGGCGTGGGAGTTGGTTGGTTGTTTTCTCAGCATGAACACATTGATACAAAAATTATTTAACCACGAAGCACATTGTCTTTTGATTGTTCAGAATAGAGAAGCAATTCCTAAGTGCCAGAACATCACAGCTGGAAACAAATGTTTGCATGAGTTATCCAGTTGCACACATGCATCCATGCATGAGTTCCTATTTCAGGATTTCAGTGTTACATGATTTTTATAACCATGGTTCAAGCTACAAATTTGGCACACAACAGCAGCTGCATAAGTATTCCCCTATAGGCCAGAAGCACCTCACTGTTAAGAGCTGACATTCAAATTTTTGAGTATGATCACGCCTGAGGCTGATATATCACTTCCAAAATTTTTAGCCCACTGAAAAACATTATTGGTTTGTAAACAGATTTGCCTTTTTATATGTTGAAAATATCAGATGAAACTTCCTACTCAGAGTGCACTTGGGAACCTGAAGGTGCTGTGAATTGTTCCAACTTGCAAGTTTGTAGCACAAATTACTATGGAGTATAAGAAAGTATGAATTAAAATAAACCAACACACAAGTATAAACATTTCCTGCTCAAAACTGCAAGACATACACTGGGTACAAATGTGTTTCCTGCATTGAACTTTCTGATGCAGAGGCTTTAGGATAACAACCTAAGTACCAAATAGAAACAAATACTTTACCTTTAGGAGTTCAGGCTCCCATGAATCCAATGTTAAAGATCTTACTTTTGAAAAGTGGACTCCCAAGCTCCTAAACAACATGGAAAAAACCATCAACCTGTTATATCTTATTAACATGTTATAGCTTATCTCAGATTTACCATTAATTTATGCAAATAAAGCAGCTACCTTAATTCTATTTACAAACAAGTGTCTCTAATTTTCTTTCAATATACCTTTGAAGAGGCAAACACCACCCTTGCTAATTAAGCCAGTGCACAAATGAAATGCAGCTGTGAGGAGCTCCCCCACCTGTGTATCCCAGAGCACTCGATGCACAGTGTGATTCCCAGGTTGATGCTGGCCCAGCGAGGATCTGCCAAACCACAGTCACAGCAGGCAGCATTACCAGCAATGCACTGGACTCGCTGCAGAGCACTCTCTCCTTTCAACAACTTCTCTTTTGTCTCACTCCCAGATTCTAGGCTCCCAGTAGAAGGGGATGATTTCTTTTCCTGTTTCTAAAAGACAAAAGACACAAACCAATTGAGAGATAGGCTAAACTAAAGAAATTCAAGTCCCACAGATACTGACTGTACATTAAATCCAAGAAAAGTCTCTTCTACCAAGGCCAAGGAAAGCCACAGAATTAAAAAAAGTGTTTAGGTTTTTAGAAGACATATAAAACTGAATATCAGAATATCCTATGATTTTTAATCACACTGCAGAGAAATCTCAAAAAAACATACAGATCATAGTAATATTAACATGATGAAGTGAAAGACAGGTCAGATACAACTCACAGCCTTCAAAATTTCATTGCATTTCCACTGGAAGACAAACAATGGATAGTTTCTTTCCTTCTCTCTCATTAAAAGAAGTTTTATATATTTAAAATTTTCAGGATTTAAAGGGAGGTAGTTTTTTGGTGGACTGTTAAACTCACCTCAGATTCATCCCCTTTTTCTCTATATGCTGTGGCAATACTGGTCTGAACAGCCTTAATCCATGCCTGCCGCAGCTTTTCCGAGTCAGCCTGAAGCATGCAGCTCCTGTGACAAATCACAAAGTACGCAGAGACAGTGGCCCAGCAGCTGACATCCAACAGCACATTGCTCAGGGGTCTGTTTTTATGGAGCAAGTTTCTTGCTATCACAAGCTTAGTAGGCATCATCTAATAAACATGCTTATTTTAAGATATAAATCAACAAAGCAGCTGAGCCTTTGTGAGCTGCAAACTCCTTATTTCAAAATTATTTCCAGGTAATGCTAATAGATATAGAAATGACTCTTCCAAAAACTCTGACAATGACTTAGCTTCCTACCCCTTTTCTTATTCCAAATTTTTCTTTTTTATATCCTCAAATGTATTTTACACCTGTGACACAAGACACAGGTATCAGTCCTTGAAAACACACTTTCATTCGCTGACATCAAGAGAGAGTAACTTTAAAGCTCTATGACAAAGAATGAACTACTTTTGTCATCAACAGTAAAAGAAACAGGATGTGAAGAACAAATTAAGGGTTGAAAAAGCACAGGCAAGCAAGAGCCAAATGCATGTTACAGTGAACCACACTGGGGATGCAAACATCAGGATGGACAGCTCAAAAGAGAAAGCTAAGGAGGAGTGGAAAGTGTAGATAACCTCCAAAGCTAAAAGCAAGTTGACCTCGTACCAAAACCTTAAATATGGACACATCTCACAATCACTAATGAGGAATCTATGTCCTGCCCTTGCTGTGGCAGGATGCCAAAATTCCCTAAGTACAGCCAATACACTGCTGGAGCTGAAAAATAATTTTATTTTTCATTTAGTAGTTTCATTTTTAGTAGTTTCATTTAGTGCATTCTGAAGTATAATTTATCATCACTGAGACAACAGTTTATTTATGTGCTTCTCTCTCATTACGCCAATCAGAAATGTGGAGAAACTGAGACCTATTTTCTATGTTACTAAGCAGCTGATAGTATCAGCTACTACTAAGCCGCAGCAGAGCTCTGCACCACAAGCCATTTATGCAAAAAACACAAGAATGCATGTTTATTTTAATGCCAAAAGTAAACTAAATACCAGGAACACTTCTCACAGCATCACTTACTCTCAGCCAAAATTTCAGAGAGCAGAATTTTTCAGATACTTTTCCTGTTTTGATCTATCCCAAGAGAAATGTTAATTTTACATTTTAAAACAATTACATGTAATGATTTTTATTTTTAAATTAACATACTCAATTGCTTCTCCTTACTTTGTTGGAGAAACCACCTCAAAACAGAAACGTCTTTCTATGTCTTCACAGTGTTTAACTGTGCAGAGCCGCAAGTCTTCAACAACTACTGTGGGATTATCCTAAGAGACAAAAGTAAACAAGAAGGTCACAGAGAAAAAAATAATATAGTTGATAATAAGATAATAATTCAATCCTGAATTATTAGAATCATTGAGTTCTATTTGCCCGGTTACACTAATTTCTTCCTCCAAAAATAAAATTTTAACTCAATGGATTTGGCAATCTACAATCCAATCTACTGAATAGTCAACATTTAAATTTAAACAACATTATTCAAACTACAAAGATACTCTAGGAAATGCAATTAACTCACAGTTAAATCAGAAAAGTTATACTTAAATCAGCAGTATTTTAAGTGCCACATAAAAAAAAAAACCCAGAAGCTGAATGCAGTGGTTTTGAAAATTTGATTCAATTAATAAGAATTCCATTCTGAGCTATCAGCATTTTAAAGGTACAGTTCAAAAATAGAGCAAAGAGGATTCGCAAACACAGAATGCCCAACCAAACATGCTCAAAGAAGCTCAGCAGTGTGTTTCCTTTCCAACCACAGAAATTAAGCCCCTTGATTTGACAGCATCAGATAACAGCCTCTGACCCCAGTCTGTTTACAGTGAAGAGGAAATAATTGCCATAAGCTCTCTTCCCTCTTTTTTCCCACCATCTCCATACAGTCTGTGGTTTTTTCCAACCTGAAAAACAGCTACAGCTCCTTTGGTGCAAAAGCAGAGTCTAGAATAGCAAACAAAGGAGCAGGGGCCCAAAACCTGACTGAAAAGGCTTCTACGGCTTGGGGCAGAACTGGATTGCTGATTTGATATAAAACAGCTGCACTTCCCACCAGCAACAAGGCAGACACTGACTGCTGAGCCACTGTGCATTTTCAATACTAAATACATGTATATAGCAGCCCTGACTGCTTTCTAGCAAGCTTTCATGCCTTTTTCCCCCAGTTGCTGAATTGGGTGTGTGAACCAATTTCAGGACAGCCTTAACTCTTTCAGGACTTGCTCCTCCAGTAAGTAACTGGAGGAGCAAGTCCAGAAAGAGTTAAACACAACTGCTCAGAGAACAGTATGGAATATTTCACTGCCAGCAAGTGAGCACAAGCCTTCTGGGACCAACAACTTTTAAAGCTCTAACTAGGTTACAAAACCCACAGCAAATAGAGTATGTGCTTACAATCAGTGCACAGGAATCTCAGAATCGGTCAGTGCAGCTATTAGTCTCATTTTACAAAGGGAGAAACTAATTTACAAGAAAGCAGTAGGTTGTTGAAGATCACATAGAATTTTCACATAATCAGTTTCCCCAATCAGTCAGGAAAATCATCACCCAAACCCCAAACTATCCCAAGCCAGTTTTCAACACCTACCTTAAATTTCTTCTGGTACACAAGTTGGTTATTTTGTATTGAGAACCAGCGCCTATTCAAATGAAGAGACATCCAGAGAATACATAACTGATTTTACAGTGCTTATGTGACTGAGATGTGCTAACATACAGTCTACAAAGAGACTGCATAAAAGAATTCAGGAAAGTAATACTGCAGTCAGTTTTGGCAAATATTTCATGAGAATAATGAAAATAGGGAAAGCAGAGACAAAACAGAAAAGAAAGCAAGGTTCAAATAATTTGAGTCATAAACAAACACATTCATGTTATGACAACATTAGTTAAGCTATCACACAAAACATTTTCATTTTAAAGAACATTTCCTTCTGTATTTTAGCAGCAAGTTACGATTTTAAGTAGCTGTTTGATAACACAAATTCAGATAGTTTGAATAACAAAAATACTTGAACCCATGTAAACTAATCCTGAAATATTTTTGGGAGTAGAACTAACTTACTTACTAAAGCACTAAAAATGCTTCAGTGTTGCTATCCCATGCAGGTTTAATATCTACCTACATTGGGCATGCCTAAAATAAAAACACTGCATATAAAAACTAAAAAAAAAAATCCAATGAAAACCTTTTAAGTAGGATCCTAAATTAAGTCTCAGCTTTGAAGGAAAATCAAATGAATCAAATAAATTATTTAATGAAGGCATCCTGTAAAATCAAAAAGATAATATAATGCTTAAAAACTCCTCTGAACTGTATCCTTCCTTGTCAAACTCGGTGTTCACATAGGATACATCCCAGAGAATGGAAAAAGCACTCACATTTTGGAAAAAAACCACCTCAGATCTCTAACAATGATGTTTTATCAGACCACTGAATGAAAAAAAAAACCCCAGTAGACATAACCATGCCTTTCTAGCTCTTCTGGGATGCACAAAATGAAAGCTAACCAATTATCAGAGTTTCATTTTCACTGACAAAAATTAAGAGAATGTACAAGACAATTCAGTGAAATTTACACCTTGTTTTGTTCAGGGTTATAATGCAAACCTGTGTTTACCACTGCATCATTCCTCAATTATCTCCAATACTCCACCTTTACCACACATCACTTTTTCCTGCACTACCAGTTAGTTTTCAAACTAACAGTAACAGTTGGTAACAGTACACAAAATATTGTGTTGCAACAGATCTTGTTATTCTCCACAGGCTGTAGAGCTTCAAGCTACAGTTTACTACAATTAGTAACAAGAGGAACCCATGTATTTATTCAACCACCACAAGCCATTCCTGGAAAGAAGTGCACAAAGATGGTTAAGAAAAATTAATATATACAAAAAATGTTAGATCCCAAACAGAAAATCTAGTATTTGTTAGAAAGGTTAGTGTTTCATAGACAGATGAGATTCTACCTTTTAAAACAATCTTTTCAAATGTTGTGCAGATATATTTAATTTAAAAAGCAACAACGGGATCTCTTGTCATTCTTGACTTTTTAAATTTATTAACAGCAGTAGTTTTAGTCACTGCTATTGAAAAGGTATCATCTTTACCATCTATTTACAGATGCAGTAAGTGTACCCCAAATATAAGGCAGGTTATTGCTAACATTCATACAGGATACTTAGCAAAAAAGCAGACTTGAAAAGGAAAAACTCACATCTTTTTTCATGTGTTTTTTTTTGATAGTAACACAAAAGAGAACAACATGAAAAGCGGTGCCTAAGTGATAAAGGGAGTGGTAAAGGGGAAAAAAAAGCAGCCTTGTCCCAAGACAACTAGCAATGGAGCAAATACCTAGTAAGAGCCTTAGGAAGTGCAATTAACTTAATTAATGCAATGCTTCATTTGTTCTACAGCTAAATATTTAATGAGTTACTCTAGTAAACAAGCTCTAATCTCATCAGTTGGATATAAGTGAACACACAAATTGTAACACAAATTTTTGCCATCTTTAAAACCTAATCTAGAAGTTTTGAAAGTATTTCAGTTCCTTTTTTTTCTAGTAGAGAAATTAAATCTGTTAAAGAAAAATATTCAGTCTAACCACAAAGGGTGCAGGTTTTGGTGCCCTTCTAAAATCAACTTTTACTGAATGAGACCAACAATTTACAATTTTGGATAACGTGTAGATCACACTTAGAAGTAGATGTCAGAGTTAATACACTGTCATTTTTTCATAACAAGATGAAAATGTCAGGCTGCCCTTCAAGGTGTCAGCACCACAGCAGTTTTATTCAGGCCAAAACTCGGAGTTATTCCTCATTAACCAAATACCATCAACAAACTCCTGACTTCACTGTAGCAAACAGACTGCTGGGGTCTACACCAGCATCAGCCAGGAACTCCTGAGGTACAATCTCTGCACTGAAGGTGCTGCTATAGGGTAACCCACATCTATCAGCTTCTAAGAAAAATTTTAAATCTTCAGGCATCATGTGTGCAATAAGTACGGATTGTTACCAAAGTTTCCTTAAATATCATTCTGTCAAAAGCAAGAGAGAAGCATGGTGAAGGAGAAAACATACTTTGGAATATTAAAGTAGTTTACACTGTCTCACTTCATAGTGGTTAAATATAATTGTTCCTGTTTAGAAACGGAATGTTTTCCATCATGTATACCTACAAAATTCAAAACTGCATTTATTAAATAGGAAACAATCTACAGAAAAAAATTTCAATCTCTGAGAACTGAGTATAATATTGAAAAAATTATAAAATTTGAATTTTACATAAAACAATGAATTGTGCTTCATGATTCTCAGTTTTCTCCTCTAGTTGCTACCAGCACATAATTAAAACAGAGTAATTAAGAATGCACAACATTTAAAAGTACATGTCTAGTCCCAATGCAGTTGATAAGAAAAAAAAATCTCATCAACTTCAATTGGAAAAAGGCAAGACATTGATCTTGTATGCTCAGAAGTTCGAGTGCAGAAATTTGGCTTTAATTCCTTTTTTAGCTAAAAACTAGCTCAATCTTTCTAAATCTTTTAAAGGATTTGAGCAGCAAGTATACTGGCATCCCAGGCAGAATCCTTCTGTTATTTTCTTAGACTGAGTCACTTATACATCCATTGCAAGTAATCAAAATTAAATGCAGGGTTAATGAAGAGCTTTTTGCGTGCCAAGGAAACATTGGGAAGGTATAAAAGAAGCTGGTTGGTACCTGATGTGATCTGGCTTTTTCCTGTCATGTGAAAAAATGGGGTAGGATTAAAACATAAGGGAAAGGAGGAAAAGGGATGAAAAATGCAAAATGAGCAAAATAAGAAAAGAATTAGCATGATCTGAAAATACAGCAGAATTAAAAAGGAAAACATCTATAGCACCCAACCTAAAACCTATTTGGAACATACTAGTTCTATCTACTAGTTCATACTATCTGAGAAATGCTTTTCTCCCTACACACATTTATTCTTTCTTTATGATATGGACTTATTTTTCATTTGAATTTCTGGGAACCAAAAGAGCTTTCCAGCTACTGTTCCATAATAAATGCACCTGACTCTTGCTCCTGATGCCTTAAGAAAACTGGTGTACAATAAGGTGTATCCTTCACCAACCCACAGACATATATTCTAAACACAGGTGTCCATACCTGTTATTCCAAGACTTTGCAGTACAAGGATATAGTTTTGATTCCACTGAACTGTATTATCTGAAATACTTGTGTACATTATGTCCTTTTAGTCACAACAAAAAGAGATTACAAAAGCTCCATCTCTCTCAAAACAGCGACACTGAATTGCAAATAGCTCAGGGTTTACTTTGCAGCTTGCTCAAACACTTATTTGTTTCTAAAGCCAGTGTCACATAGAACTGTCCCAAGAACAGGAAATTTGATGCAAAAGCCCAAATAACTAAAGTCTTGAGACAATGAAACACGAGCTGCCAGGTGCTGCAGGAAGAAATTTCATTATGCTAGCAAGACATGAGTTTGGACTGGAAACAAATTTTCATTCACCACAACAGATTTGCCCCCCTTCAAAGGGCTGTATTATACAGCCCTTTTTTTTTCTTTTTTTTCTCCCCCAGCAACCAGACTTTTCCCAGGATAATACCACTATGGGGTCCATGGACTCACTGGCCAAGACATGCACACAGAAGCATCACATTTCTCTCATTTGTCAGCTAGAATCATTCTGCTATGTCAAACCCCCACAAAACCTATCATACCCTTGGTCTCCTCTCTTATGTCTTTAATGTTGGCAAGTGTCTGTTAATAGTGGCCATTAGGATGGATTTTGGTGCCTTTAATTCACACTTGAAGGAGTTCTTAAAAAGGTCTAGAATGAACATAAGAGCAACTGAGACCAACGAGGGTAAAAGAGAAGCCTCAATTTTAATACATATTACTACTGACAGTGCATTTAGCAGTCAGCAAGGAAGACCAGTGCTGTCACCTTTGGCTCAGAACAGCAGGAAATTCCAGTATTTCTAGAGAAATTCTTCTAGTTTTGTTTCAGCTGGTTGATTTTCCACCCACCTTCCCCAAAGATGGTGATATAATAAGGGAGCAAACTGCTAATCTCTAAGAACACCAAAAGTATCTTGTCTGTCTTGACTTCAGCTCAGAATTCCCTAAAATAAAACACATAATGCTCTGAATGTTTCCTCCTTTGTTTGATATTTTGTAAAAGTTTACACACAGAACAGTTTAATGCAATGACAAAATCTATTCTTGTACTTTAACCAGTGACTGGAAAAACCCTATAATCTCTAGTATATGATAAACTTCAATCAGTATAATTCCCCACAGCTGAAACAGCTGAAAGTGTAACACTACACAAGTAAAACTTTCCTTCATGGGAAACAGGCAGTGACCACTTCTGCACCTACAGTATAGCAAGCATTTACAAATGTATTCAGAAATAACAAAAATACTTCTTTATTTTTATTGAAGCATAGCAAAAATGGGATACTAGATTCAGAAATAAAAACTTCATTAAAGTCTTAAATGTATATTTTATGTATGATAAAAGTAGTTTAATAGCAATTAGTAATGGTTTGTGAACATGTGGAATACAAAATTTAAATGACTGATTCAATTTCAGAACTGTTTCTAGATAGCATATCCAGTCCTATTTTTTGCCTTAAAGCATCCAACTAGTCTATCTCAGTGAGACAAATAATCAAGGATCTAATACTAAAAAGGTTAAATGTTTTGCTTCATTGAATGCTCCTGTGATAAACAGAAGAAAAAGCTATAAGTAAATATCAATTATGTAATAAAAGTAGGCAGCTCTGACTCATTAACGAGCTGTTTATCTTTGCCCTCTTAAATTATTAATTTAATATAGATAATTTAATATGGATATGCTTTTATTATATTTGTTAAAATATGTAACTTAATCTGAAGGAATGTCATTGTGTATCTTGATTTAATTACAACTGCTCCTTATTTACTTTGTGTCCATGTAAATTACCAACATAGAGAGGTTAGTTTTAACTGAATCCTACTCTCTAACCACTTTAAAGGTAAGAGACATGTACAGTATTCCTAGGAATGACACCACATGAAAGCACACACTCCTGTCCTGCTCCCTCCTGTCACCTCCCTGCAGAACAAGGCCTTCCTGCTATTCAAAAGAGGAACCCAGAGACAGAATTTCACCATCAGTTATCCAGCAATGGCAAAAAGGACCCTTTCAGCCCCTTGGGAATCCTATAAAGGACAATCTCCTGCCCTATTACTGCAGATCTTTCTCATTATGCTAACACTAACATTTTACTTCACACCAGGAAGGTGCTTTTGATGCACATCTCCCGGTTTTCTCCCTTCACCATCCTTTGATGCTTCACAGATTTGTCTTGAAGAACTCGGCATTCTGCTTGCATGAGAACAACCCAGAAAGTACATTACAATTACAGATGATTAATCAGGCCAAAGCAAACCCTTTTGTACTAGTTGCCATGACTTGCTAATATAGATAAAGTCTTATTGACAGTGGCCCTTGCATCAGTCTCTGGATTTAACTGAAGTGATCCCAATTCTTACAAGCTTGTGGTGTGTTGAGATGCTCTAGGAAGTACAGAATAAGTAAGATTGGAAGGGACCACCCACTCAAATGCACATTCTGTCCTTTGAAACACAGCAAATAGTTTAACAGGGCACCACTGAAAAAATAGCAGAACATGGACAATAGAGAGCTCTTTATCAGAACAAATTACATCTAAAATTCAAGAACTGTATCCAACTGTGTTGTAAATGCTCCAGCACATATATTTCCTTGAAAAAAGTACACACCCTTGGAAATGCAAAAGAAATCCTGTTCAGGAAGAAAAATATTTAGATAGTAGTAAAATATACATTGTTAAAGATATATGACTAACAATATACTTTGAATTCCCAAAAGGGCCATCAAAACTACTAAGCCAAAGTCACCGCACAGGACAGGAATTTTAAAGGATAACAACTACATTGCTTATCTTTCAGGAAAAATAACTTGAGTCCTTGACTGTGTTTCTCTGCTTCCAGTGGCTATACAACTATTTCACTCTGTCTTCTAACACTTTCCTAGCATATGCTTTCACGAGGGAAAGGTTTACAAACAACTAGTACAGAAAACAAAGAAAAATGGCTGTGAAGTGTCATCTCTAACTTAACTAACAGAGTCACCCCAGTGTTCTGTCAAAACTATGGACTCAACAAGTTACAGAGATTATGAATCAGATGAGAATTCAGGTTAAAAAGCAGTATTTTTATTAGCAGCAAATAGAGGTTCTGAATAATTACCTGTTCCAAGTCTTGAAGGCATTGCTGGCTCTCTTGAATAAATAACCTTCCATAACAATGCCATTGGCTGCATCTACATTGTATTCTAGTTTAGTATCATCACTGGAATAATCCTAGTACAAAGGAACAAGAAAAACACACTGCAGTTCAAATGAAACTTCAAATATGAGCAGTACTGTTGTCAAAGAGTAAATATCTAGGAATAAGGTTTTGCTTGCAACACTTATTAGTCCAACCATGACTCTCAGCCCCTGATGGCTTTTTTTACAAAAGCAATTTTAAGCAATGAGAATGCTGAAGATTTTTACTTTACCTGCAACAAGGGGAATTTCTTGTTCAGGTATTGGTGACCTCTACAGCCAAACAGAGGGCAAACATTGCTGACAGAGCATCTGATGCTTCAACTGTCTGCTCAAATGGTCTCTCATATATTCCCAAGAAAGGGGATAGAAAAGCATAGGAAAAGAAGCCATGAAAGTTAGGAGTCAAAACTGAGAAACAGCTGCAGCTTGTTGTAGATATGTATAAAGTCAGTTGTGCTTTAGCATTTTCTTCACCTCTGTCATGTTGACAGCTGAGCTGCATAGGAACTTAGAAGAAAAGTAATCAAATAAAGATGATGCTATCAGCTAACTCTAGAGTAAACCAATCATGGTGCTGGCACTGATGACAAGACCTTGGCAGACCTTTCTTCTTTATGATCTTGGAAAAGATTATAAAATCACAAGTAGGACAAGGGAATATGCATTTCCATCAACTTAGTAACAACTAAATCCAGCTAATAACAATTAATAGCAGCTTTCTGAGCTTTAGAAAGGCTGACTGCTTAGCTTATTATCTGATCTTTAGCAAAGGTAAGTTAGACTAAGTAATAACACATGTGATGATCGTTTGCTTTCACATCTCATTGAGAACAGCATGGGCTCTTCGCAGGGAGGCAGAGTTCCGACATTCAGAGAGTGGGAGGCTAACATCTACTAAGGGTGCATGAAAAAGCACACATGGAATGACATCATTTCTCACAACTCTGTCCAGCGATGAAAATAATATACATGCTGTCATTTTATTTCACTGTTATTAAAATATATATCCTTAAAGTAGACTAGCAACATATGGCTTCTTTCCCTTAACATGGGTGTAAGAGACACATTACTGAGAATTAAATTTCAGAAGAAAAGAACCAAACAAGTTAAATACTGAAAAGACAGAACATTTTGTATTATGTCTTTCCTGAACCTTCAGTAGTTACTTTTTGTCAATTGCAAACATCAGCTTTGTGTGAAGAGTATATCTGAAAGTCTCTGCTTTGTACTTTGCTTCTTAGAATTTGTCTATACATAAATGAAAAGAGGCAAGAAATATATATAAAAAAGTAGCTTCAACACCAACAAGGTCATTATCCCCAGATAGTAGCCCAGGATGCACACAACTTTCGTGCTACGTATGATGTTTACTCTTATACATGCAGATGGTTTTTTCCAATCCAAGGTTAATTACACATGATAGTGAAATGGTTACAAATATTAAAATGGACCCTTTAAGTTCCCCACTCAGAACAGTACAAATTCCTTAAAATTATTCACTGTTTTAATCTATTATTAATCTGGATAGATCACCTAATGTTGAAATGTTAAATCTAGATTTTTATTATTGAATTGACAGATGATCAATGCAAGAGTTCTGAAAGAAAATGGAACGACCATATCACTGCCATACACTGATCTGAATAAACATACTAGTTACAAATGAAAGCTTCACCAAAAGAGTATCATATTTTTGTATTTATTATTCAGCAATTAGTAACTTTGATTTTCTGTCTGTTTCCTAGATCAGAACATGCTGAACATAAAAGGCTTCATGTAAGCGCTCAAAATAAACAGAAGAGAAAACCACTATGCACAAACTTAGACATGCTGATGTCACATTCCCTACATTCCCCAAAAACTGATAAATTACTCTAACTTACCAGCTCCCAAACATAATGAAATCTGCTAAAGATTTGCATCTTCCTGCCTCAGTGATGCCCGCAACTCCTTGTCTAGTTAAAGACAATAGATTTCCTCAGTCTTTTCTGTCCAACCTACTATGTAATCACATTTTCCTCTGGATTTGGAGAACTACTGGAGAAAATGCAGCTGTCTTTTCCAGTGACTCCAGATCTATGCTTTGAAGGTGTATATGGATGGTTTACCATGCCACACTCTCAGTCAGAATAATCTAAAATACTGAGCCTTCTCATGAAATGCATTTAGTGCCATTTTTAATTACTTCCCTCATTGAATTCCACTTTTACAGAGCAGAAAAAGACAGCAGAGTACAGAGGCAAATGTCAAATACCTCCTTAACTGAACATGGCAGACTACCAGCTGGAGGGGGGAGGGAATAAGGCTTCCATGTGCTTTATCCATAAAGCTTCATTGATAAAGTTGTGATCAGGAAAAACAATCAGAAAAAAAAAATGTCCCATTGCAATTCCATGGATAAAAGTAGAAAAAGAAACTAAATTAGCTGTGTTCCAATCTTAGTCTCTGCTATTCTGCAATTTAAAAAATAGGAGCAAAGCAGTCATAGTTATAGTTTATTTTTATCTTGGTGCATGGAAAAGTTTAATGAATCATGAAAAATAATCTGGGGTGGAGAAAAATCCACCCATATCTTTCCAATGTCCTGCATAAGAGAATCACATGTTAATAAACTCAGTCACTGTATGTGATTCAGAATTGTGTATTCTGCCAGCAGGCACACAACTGATAAAGACTTCATTTTAAACATAATTAAACTAATTAGGTGTCAGGACTAAAGTAGATTTCACCTAACCAGAACTAAGACAATTTAGCCAGTATTATGTAATTTTCACTGAAGTGCTACATCACACATTTCATTTAGTTTTGGAAGAATAAACATCTGTGGCTTCTATTCTGACACTGACTTTTCACGGTTACTGGAAGAGAAACATGTAGAAGTGGGTTATATAAGTGAAGCATACAGCATGCTTTCATGCCTTTTTTTCCACCCTTTTTCTTTAAATGTCCATGGGGTACAGCAAACCAGCTGGCAATGGAAAAACAACTTTCATCTCCAGAAATAATACTAATCTGGTGTGTCACAGAACACTTAATATTCTTGACAGTGTTTCAGTGAATGCATTTTCGTATGAACATATCAGTTCATCACACATACTTGATTCATTTCAGAGCACGTTTTCTGTTTCTCTGTGCATGATTTTCTTGTTCCCAAAACAAACCCCCCCCATTACTTTTCAGTAGCAGAGCTTTTGATTTACTTTCAAAATTGCTATCAGGCCATGAAAGCTATTCAAACCATTTTACTAGTAAATCTTTGGAACTACATTTCAACATTTAATATGTAACCCAAAGTATTTTTTACTTTAGAAAATCAGCATTTTAAAAGTTTTAAAAAAAGGCAGTAAATGGGAGAGCATAAGTACTAAAGAAAACACTAACCTGAAAAATTAGGCCAGCATATACTAAATAGGAGACACTAATTGTGCAAAGCCCCCATTTAGAAAGCTGCTCCCACTCCCTTTCCATTGGCAAGAGATGTTTGTCATGCTTAAGCTGAAAAGTCCCTCGAGGAAGGGTTTAGAACAACAGACACCACAAATAACAAGGTTTACAGCCCAAGACAGAGTAAGAGAATGCAAGAGTGTCATCAAGCAAACAAGTCACTTGAAATACAAGCACATCTTTGGTTTTGGAGATAGGAGTTAGTCTGCACAACTTCTCAGCAGCAGCTCTGGTTTATGCCTGCTTTGTGATTGTGGTAGCAGCTGGTTTCCTATCAACTTGTTTACTCAAGTGTTAAAGATGTTCAAATCATTCTCACTCCAGCTGTTTCCTGAGCACTTCTTTGGAAGCAGAGTTTTACTTTAATAGAAAGGGGATTTGAATACAACAAAACTATTTGAAGTTTAATGCAAATACTTTTCCTCTATCATCTCCCTCATTTTAGAACAAAATATTAGGTCTGACCACACCAAAAAGCCATGAAGCTGTTTGCAGGTGCAACTGATTTTTAAAATATTTCTTAATGAAATGTGTTGCTACAGCAATGGGCTGCAAACTTCTCCGAAAACAAGAATCATGTCTAATGTATTGACACTGCGACACCACTCTTTTAATATGAATCTTTTCTTATAAAGATATATTGCAAATATTTCCCAGAATGATAATGAAATTTCTAGATTAATTCACAGCATGTGCTGCTCCAGTTTAACACAGAAAAAATATTTTCTTACACCGAAAAAAATAAAGTTAAGAAAAATGTTTCCTGCACATTTGCTGAATAAATAGACCACAAAACTTATAAGCAATTAAAAAAAGTAAATCAGATTATCAGCTCTGCTAAAAAAGAAATCACATTGTATTGGTGACCAAGCCCTTCCATGACACTTTTAATAGCCTCTCCATCAACAGCCTAATTAAGTAGGACAATGATTATACAGAAAAGTGAGATGGGTTATTTAATTAGTGCAATTATTCTGCATGCATATGCACATATATGCAAACACAGGTAGTAGGTGGGTAGGTGTGTGCACGTATGCACTTACCTATACATTTCAGAAAAGGAACTGCTCTTTATCCACACAATGAAGGAAAGGCATCATTCTGAAGCATTAGATTAGAACTTCAGTATATTAAATACATATATACCTCATGGAATATTCAACACAATAAGCTCCAGAAGTTTCAGTTGTTAAAAAACATGGAAGGATTTGGCATTGGAAGATTTGGGAATATAGTGGAATATAGCAACATGACAAGACATGAGAAGAGAAGGGGAATAAAATTGCCATCTGGGACAGGGTGACCAGATGACAAGTAGTGATTAAACGATCCAGAGTCTAAGGCAGTTCTGAAATCCTGATGAGCTGGAAGCTAACTTGGCATGAAGGCTTGGAAAAGCAAGTAGGAGGAGACAAAAACAGACAACGTGATTTGAACAAGAAACTAAGAAAATGATTGGACAAGCTGTTAGAGGAATCTCCAATAAAGCACAGTCTAGGCATTATCAGCACAAAAATGTGACAGTGACTTCTCTGATAAGGACAGGAGACAACACTTACAACTCAAACCACAGAACTTAAGAAGACAACACAGTACATTCTGACTGCCCTGATTAGATTTTAGAGACAGCATTAAATTGTCAATTAAAGTAAGGAACAATAAAAGTAACATTATTGTATTCATCACTCCTACTAGAAATCAAGAACATTTATATTACACATAGATATGGCTTATCAAGTCTCATGAAGCTTACAAGTTCCAGTAGCAATTGAAACTAGCAGAAGTAGTTTACCTGTAAAGCAGCCTTAAGCAGCATTTGAAGAAAAAATAAAGATTGTAAACAACACTGGCAACAGCAGTGACCATAATTCATGGTAACTAGTTATTATTTCTATGGCCAATTAAAAGACAATTGCTCATAACTTCAGCAAGCACCAGTGCTCTCTCAACAGAGAGCCTCTCAACTACTATCCATTCCTGAAACTGAGCCTTTAAGCCGAAAATACTTAAAATTTGACCTTCAACATTAATTCTCAAGTTCCATCTTTCCCACTCTTCCCCTTCCTTGCCTGCAGTTATCTCCTGACTTCAAGCACAGCATGTCAGCTCTGCCCTCATCATCACATCTGCTCAATTCCACAGCAATCCTAATGCTTCCCACCAACTCCTAAAGGGATGACAGGATGCACCAATAAAAAGGTTTACAGCAACCAAAAATGTTATCTTTTCCCATTAGTATTAATATTGGCTCCTACTAAGGCTACCCAACCTATAATCTCAGCATGTTTTCATTCCTGAATTTAGTTAATTTAGATATTTCTATTGGGTGGGATTTTTTAAAATTTATGCCACCTGAACATATTTGAATGAGAGGAAGAAGTGTAGCATTACCTTTAAAGTGGTATCTAATCCCTTTCAAAAGTGTCTGTAGCTCACTACCAGAGAGTTCAGTGGAAATATTTTTAACTTCTAGCATTTTACCTGCAAAACCAATACTGATCTAGAGCTTCTGAAACATCCAAACAACAGAAGCCATTCCCCCCAACATGAAATACCTAAATTTTTCTCAAGAAGTAATAAGAATTATTGCACAAATCTTCCTCAAAACACCAGTTAAAAGTTCTCAATTTCATATCTCTGCACAGTTGAACCAGTACATTAGACACTCTTTACAAAAGTTTACTTTTGTTCTTCATATCCAACACCAGCTGCCACACAAGCTCCAAGTGCTGCACTTTGATTTGGCACAGTCCAAAGTGAAACTTATGGCTGTATGGCTGTGCAGCACATACACCTCTTCTACAAACACATAGCATGGAAACAGAGAAAACTGTACAACTTATTCAATTCAAGAGGTAATAGGAATTAGGAGTTCTATTGAAATGCTAGAATCCCAGCATTCAAATAAATTCTACTGTTCTATTTATGTTTCAGTAAAAACTAAGCATAATATTTTGTTCAGTAACACAAAATTAGTATCTGCAATCCAACCTTACACTTAATAACATGTCAGTCTGTCCCTCTGCTCTAAAAATACCATCCCTTGTAGTTCTGATGCAGAGATGCTGGGGAGAGATGCTACAAATGAAAAAAAAAAGTGTGTGCAGCCTGCCTTTTACATTCTGTCAAGTACCTTTTGTTGAATAGTGGAGTGCTTTTGCTCCATATCTCTCTTCTCCTTCGCAGCATCTACAGCCAACTGATCCAGCTGTAAAGAGAAACAGAAAATTGGATCTTTAAATTATCACAAGAAATTTGGCTCAGTAGATTTCACAATGCTGACAAAAAAAAAAACAACAAACCAACACACATTATGTCTAGACACTGCAGACTTTTATTTTATTTGCACAGCATAATTACTTCTTTGTCACAAATTGTTTACCTTGAATAAGCACTGAAGCCTCGTTTAAAGCACTGCTCTGCCACCCTGAATTAACCTCCACCAAGGTGTACATTTCTTGTAAGCATTAGAAGAACTGTTTCAAAGAACAGCATGGTGCCAAGCATATGCGACTCTGTACCGCATTGGTGCTCAGTCTCCCAAGAGGATGACTCATGCTTTAGCTGCTCTTGCTGGCCTATGCAGCAGCACTGGCAGGAGCAGCAAAAACTAGAAGGAGCAAATGCTATGGATTTTTCCCTCCACAAAGTGGGAGAACTGTCTCAACCAAGATTTTGTGTCAATAGTTTTGATCAGCTGACCAGCAGTACTGAAGTCTGCTTGAGATCTTAGGTAGAGACAATCAAATTAATTTTAAATAAAAAGAAGGTTTTGAAAATAACTGAGATTATCACAGAGAATATTTAAGTTAGTATCCTTACAAAGTCTGTGATGATAAAAAGGACAGTAGCAAAATAAATTTCCTTTTACAATCATAAAAAAAAAAGAGGAAATTTAGGATACCCTGTAAGAGAAAGTTTGATTGCTGTTTTTTCTTCTGTGATAAGTTACTTGTTTTGGTTCTTTTTGTTTCACAGCTTTGTCTCCTTTGGTTTTGTTGTTTGTTTGTTTTATCCAGGCCCTCATGTTTAAGTAAGAAATGCAGTGCAGAAGCAGATGTTGCCCACAAGACCAGCTGGTTCGGTACTTACAGCCGGTAACACAGGCTGCCATCACGCAGCTGGGGCCCGGCCGTGCCCAGCGCTGCAGACGCAGTGCTGCCCGCAGGGCTCAGCCCGCAGCCCTCCGTCTGCGGGACAGGGCTGCTCTGCTCCGGGCCCACAGCCAGAACTCCAGGAGCAGCAGCACCAGCTCCCAGCTGGGTCACTCTCTTGGCACTGGGCACAATGACCAACAGATCCTCTGATCCACCCACAGAGAGGATCCCCAGCATCCCTCCCAGAGCCACAAGTGGCAGGCCCTGCCAACTCCGGCTGTTTCCCCAGTCTTTTACTTCCCCTGCCTGACATGATACAAATAACAAAAAAGGGACAATAACAGGCCCTTACACCCTTATGCTAGACATTCTCCAACAAATATAGAGCCATCAGAAAGCTGAAACATCTGGATCCAATTCCATCACTTTTTTCCATTTTACTTTTTTTAACTCTTCTTTCCCTGTCCTCCCCTCTGGCTCAAAAGGCCGCATCAGCACTTGCACACCTTTTACAGGTATTGGTGAACAGGAACACATTGAAGGCTGAAGTGTCCAAATGCCACATCTATGTAGCTTTAGCACTTAAAAATAACATGAGCATCTAAAACAGAGCCTGGGCTCAAACAGTGTTTTGCATCAAGAACTCTTGAGAAACCCTTTCTCTTGTGATAAAGATGAGAACTGGGTCAAGTGCTGTTCAAAATTTTATAGGAATCAAGTTTCTTGCTAAAACTTCACATTCAGGAATCTGCACATGGCCCCCAATAAATTCTTCCTTCACCCCATTAGAAGAAATAGAAGGCAGTCACTCAGGGTAGGGCAATTACCTCTAATTTACCTTGAACACAAGCGTTTGAGGGTACATTTACCACAGCCAAAACAAAATTCTTAACAGCAGCTCATTCCATCAGTTACTTTTTTTACTATGAAGACAGCACTGCACCATTCCTGTTTTCAAGCTAAAGCCAGAGTTTCTTCCTTCTCACTCAGGTGAGCAACACATCAATTGTCTTAGAAGAGACCAACAGCATATAACTATCAAAAGCTGTAGTAAATCACAACTAAACTACCAAAATCCCAGTCATTATAGCATTACTGGGTAATTTTCAGAAAATTAGGTTTTTCAAGCTACTGCATTTACTGGTAAATGTATTTTTATAAACATAATACTCTAACTGGCATTCTGAGGAGAATTAAGTCAGATTAAAGTATTTAGCTTTTTGAGTAGTCATCTCAATAAAAATTCAAGTGTTTCCTTTTTAAGCTAATACCACATTTCATATGAAAAGAAGCAAAAATAATAGTTTCCATGAAAAAGCTCATATTATGCTTGCACACTATTAAAGATTCCCATAAAATGATCTGATTCCCAAGGGATCCTCCCCTAACCTTAAGTATCCAGAAACCAAAATTGCTTAATCCTATTCCATCACAATAAAACAGTTATTTTGAAAATACAGACAAAAATAATTCAAAACGGTAACTATACTATTTAAGATCAATTTTATTACTTCAGATGCTGTTAACCCTTGTAATTAAGATCATACACGAAATTCACCTAGGAATGAAAACTCACTCACCAACAGATGGAATCTAACAGCATTTTCACAAAAATCCAGCAAATCCCCGTTATGTCACAACATACTTTGTTAAAGGCAGAAGCTTCAACCAGTACAAGCTGCAAAGCCATCAACTGTTAAAGCTTTCAACAGTTATGTACAAATCTGCTTCTGTCATGAAAAATAGCCATTACTTAAATGCCAAGATCTGCTACAAAAGAACAATTCCGCAAGTTGTACAACTTTAGGGTCTTCAATCCATCTTGCTCCAACTGCAATATATTTAAAACATTCTTAGCTATAGATTTTCTAAATTTAACTCCTTCAGTTGCTATGATACCAGCACCAAAATGAATGCTACACAGTGCTCCTTACCAGATCAAGTAAAAGCATGACCAGACATTCAAAAATAACCTTGTGTTTTCTTGCTTGAATCACGTCAAAGAAATGGAAACATTGAAGCCTGGCTGATGGCATGACCCACTATTAACTCCACAGTTTGCATCTCCTTTCCCTATCCCCTCTTCCACAGAAGTACAGGACACGTGCTACACAGCCAGACACTACAGTTCAACACTTACAACCCAAACTGGAAGGATGTTGAAGAATAAAGGGCACATCTATGGAAGAGTAACACCTACCTGAACTGTTCAGGGGCCCTTATTACACCAAGACCTGACATGTCTCTACACATAATTAAGATCCAACTGGGGCCTAGTCTAGCAGAAAAATAACTATTTAACTATTGGGTTGTTGGAGTTATTTTCTACAGCTCCACTGCACAGCTCAGAACAATTTAATCTCTTAGCACATCTACTCAAGATGAATGTAAAAGTCTGCTGTCATTTATTTGCTTTTTTACCTGGATAGACTCTTAAAAATTTGGTTGGCTTTTTATGGATTCTGTTTGGGAAGGGGCTTCTATCAGAGCACCTGTTGCAAGCCCTCAGGTAGAGGCAAATAGAAAGTGCATATAACTTGCACTGAAAAACAAGTCAAGACACTGCTGAGTCTTCTTCCTGCACCACAGACACGTCTTCATTTCCATAGTGTATGTTCCAACCTATTTGCATACCCATTTTCAATGTCTCCTGTGTGCCGCTGGCAGTGGTCCATCTAAGCTTTTCATGAGTGCCTCAGTGAAAACTCAGAAGAGTCAGTTGTCTGTTCTTAAACTGGGCAAGAAGGATTCCATGCAGGAACTAAATTTTGCACTACTTATTAAAATCATACTTCCATTTTATGGTCTAAGTTGCTAACATCAAAGTTATATTTACACACATGAAAATTTAATTATGAAGACTGAATAATTTATACAGTAAATAAATTATATGAGTAGAAGGAAAACCTGCCTAATCTACTTTTTATTATTAGATATATTTATAAACATGGGTCATATACAAAAAATTTTGAAATCCAAATAATCCAGTATCCTGAATATCACAATGTACCTCACAGAGCAGTACATGGCTATGCTTAAGTATGTAAATCCTAAAGGCAGTATTAATTTTAGTAAACAAACAACTTTCAGTTTGTAACTATTTTCATTCCTTTTATTACAGCATATTTTTAATGTTTTGCCTGTATCATACTACAACTCCTTTTTTGTTGAATAAATCTATGAAATACCTGATATGCAGGCATATAGCAAGATTTCTTCAATTTCAGCATATAGTTATGCATTTTTAAAATAGTTTGTTACCTGTGCACCAAGTTCTTTCATGTAGGGCTCAAGTTCACCAAACAGATCATAGCCTTGATGGAAAAAAGCCAGATGTGCATACATAAACGATAACATCTAGAAGGAACAAAGTAAATATTTATTCTCTTAAAAATTGTATCACATATCAAGTAAATATGTCACTTAATTCACATGATCTACAATTTCAGGTTTAATTTGTCCTCTCATGTCCTGACAGTTTTACATCAATATGTCAGAGAGCTTCCAATGTTGTAAAATAAACGTGCAAAGTAAAGCAAGAACAGAATCAAACCAAAAATTTCAGAAATCAGTTGATAGCATTAGCTCCATGAGCAAAACAACAGAAATCTACTTAATGGCAGAAAACTACTTCTAATTCAAGTCACCTGAAATTTTTGTTCTCTCTCTTTAACTGGGACATGTAAGGAACAGAGGGGCTATAGAATATTTTTCTAATGATTCAAACTCATAAGCTTTATAACACAGCTGAAAAGACTGTCTGGCCTTAAAACAGAAAACAAGTTGGGAAGGTGCAGAGCAGAATAGCAGAGATTAAGAGATTAAAACATTTGATGTACAGAGAATAAAGTGTATCTTACCGATTTTAAGATTTCTGCTCTCCTTTTAGATTGAAGAACATTGATCTAGGAGAAAAGAACAAACAAGCAATTCCTTTTATTCTAAACTTATTTTATTTTCAATTTTCCCTAAATAATCACATCCAAGCTTAAAACATTGGAAGAAGACAGCTCAATATTAGACTTCCCAAAACACTTTTAAAAGAAGATGCACTCTAGTTCTGTCATGACATCAAAGTGATGCAAACAGAGAACACGTGAAAGCTTGAGCTTCACGGCCATAGTCACGATTTTCTTATACCAGTAAGGAAAATACAGGACACCACTTGCTTGCTAGAAGTAATATAATACACCTTATAAGCAAAATTTGTTCTCATTTTCAAGAGATTGAATTCAAGATGCTTCAAGCAGATGAGCTAAGCCAGCCCACCAACTCCCTGCAGAAGTTGCACCGCTGCCAGGGCACAGTGAAGGATGGGGGCAGGGTTACTTCTCCCCTCAGACTCACAGTATTTAAGTATCCCAAGAGTAGTCCCAGGCAAGCAAGAACATAATAGTTTCAATAACTTTCCATGTGTGGCTGGGCTTTTAAGCTAGCTGAAGTCACTGATTAAAGGTGTTGCCCTAGAACTTGGGGAATGCCACATTATGTAGAAAAAATGACTGATTTTTCACATTCACCTAGTTCCCCTATCTTCTTTAGCTGATCTTAAGAGGTTGCCATCCAGAACTACAGATTTTACTTTAAAAGACCCACTTAGCAGAAACAGGCATGATTTTGTAATTTAACACCTCTACGTCAGTTTAGAATTTCAGCAAAATAAACAAACTTACTGAAGCTATAATCAAAACCAGATTCTACTTCTATACTTAAGTTGTCATTATTTTGGGAAACTTTCTGCAGCAAAAATAATTAAGATTTGTTTGTGTAGAATAAACCCTCAGCCTGTGAGGCAAAGAAAAATAAAAATAAAAGGAAAGCAAACGTTTTGAATTACAGTTTAAAGCCAATCTAGCTACAAGGAGACCACAGTTGTGAAGCCCAGAAGAACCACTCAAGTAGACATAATTCCTGAAGCTGAATTGATTTTTGTCCACATTGAGAGATGCTGAAACTGTTACTCTAAATGCATTTTTATCCCAGGAACTGCTCATACTTCGAACATACAAATTCCAGGAGGCAAACAACCTGCAGTTCAAAGCACACATAAGGAACTGGCCTACTACAGTAGTGACTGCCAGCTGTCCCCACCATTTAGTGCTAGTACTAATAATCCTGTGGGGCATAATTCACATGACTTTTTAAACACCAAAATTACCTTAGTGTTTAAAAAGCTGGAGTTCAGAGCTGACCACTGATCACCATGTCTGTGAACATGCACTTCATTCTACAACTCATAACACAATTTATAGAGAAGTTAATTAAGCTTTAAATAACTGACAGGACTGTCACAAATCAAGATGATAATGTCTAATACAAAACCAGCTTAATTGTAAAGAGCTGTTCTTTTTTGATCATAGGAGAAGCTCAGACCCATTTGGGAGCCCCCAACATTTCACACCATCTGAGTTGCAATAATCCTGCTTTGCTGTAGTTGTGTGTAAGTATGAAGCAGATGAATTTTAAGTATCTAAAGAAAATTTATTACTGTATTACAGAATACAAAGCAGCATACAAAGAACACCTCTCAACAGCCTATGGAAAGTATTCACTAAAAAGGTAAAGGATAGTTAAGTTTTTGACTCCCCTTATAGCACCATGCCAAACTGAGGCATCTAGACAAGCTGAATACAACCCAAAGCATACAGATAAAATTGCAGAAATACCCAATGTCCTGTATCAAAATTATTCAGTAATTTGTATTTCGTATGCTAGCTTACAGTTTTTACTTTAAATATACAAGATATTGCAGCATATATCTAACTCATGAAACATTTAGCTAAGTATCAGGCAAATATTGGGCTTTTTTTCAAAATTAATGTTCAGCTTGAAAATTAAACTATGCCACTGCAGCAAGGGCACTGAATACCACAGCATTAAAGCAATAAGAATGCATCAATTAATTTTCCTCAGATTTTATTAAAAAATTAATTACTTGCAGATAAAGTTCTTCCTTTTTCCCTGAATCTCCACAGCTTCCAAGAAGCTTACAAAAAGAACTTCTAACATTTTAAAGGACATGTCTCTAACCATATGTAACAAATCGTTGTGAAAAGTAACTTTTATTGCTGTCCTTACCTGAAGAACATAATCCAGAGCTATGTGTCGAAAACACTTCCGTGTTGCAGTCAAGATATTGGTTGCTTCCTCTACCTCGTGTTGCTTATTTCTTTGAACTTGGGCATTTTTCACCAGAGCATTCTCCTTTTCTTCACTCACTTTTTCAAACTGTTTCTTTGCATCTTTAAATTTCCTAATATCTCTATGGAAAAAGGAAATGTGGTGACAAATTAATTTCAAAGCATGAAAGAGTTTAAAGCTACACCAGACAGACCAAGCTTGGGACTGCTGTAGCTGGTGTCTTTTTCAAATTATATATTCTTCAATACATGCTTGGGTCAAATGGAAATCCACAAATTATGACAGAAGCCTCTTGTCTTTCTTTTCCAGGGAAAGGACAAAATTGAACTGAATACAGCTGATGCCTACTGGGCAAAAGCTTTGTCCCCCAAGCTTAGACAATTACCCTATTGCAACATTTCTGCAGCTGGATCTAAAGCCTCAGTGATTTGGGGTGATTTTTGACAAAGCCTTAATACACACTTTGCAATTTATGGGTGACAGTTTACAAGAAGGATGTTTCACTTACCCACTCAAATCAGATTTTTAAAATTCCATTTTATGTCTAATTTTCCCATTACAAGTGCAAATTAACTTACTCTTTAACGAAAGTCTGAAGCTGTGTTTTAATTGATCTTTGGATTTGGTCAAACAGAATCTGAAAGAAAACATTATTATGTAGGTCAGTAACTTGGAGGTATTCATAACTTCTGATTTCAGAAATACCAATGGAATTATGCAGAATTAGATGAGAATTATTATTAAACCACTGTGTCCCTAATATCAAAATATAAATCCCTTCACAGTAGTTTTGAAATAAATAAAAGATAAGGAAGAAAATAAGGAAAATAACTCAAACTAAACATATTTTGTTGCTCTTTCCTTGAAGACTGGTTATAAGGAGAGATAAGAGCTCCTGGCATCTTTTTCTCTCATCCTGCCATGCCTAGTTTTATAGAAGAGGTTTATTTATGTTAATTGTACAGTAATGTTCCTGAAGAAACAACTTTGAATGTTAAGGAATATTTTTTTTTGTTCTTAGACTTTCACAGTTTATCAACAATTAAAAGACAAATGAAACCACAGAAAAAACATGCATTTAAGTTCTGGCAAAAACCCCAAAACCACGGATTGAAATTAATGCTGAAAATGTAACATACATGAGTATTCAGTACTTTACAATCCTTTACATGAATGTTTGTAAAAACCACCCACTGTTGGACAATTAAAAGGAATGGCAGATTCTTTTTAAGAATAAGTAATCTAAGCAATGCCTCCAAAATTTCTTACGATTTGGGAAGGCTGAGGGCACAAAATATAATCAATTCATTTGAATTGTAAAGTCTAAGATATTTGCTCATTCTTTAAGGCCAAAGCACACCTGGATGTGAGATAATTTGAATGCTTTCTTATGACCCAAAAAAATTCTAACTGGAAAATGAAAACACACATTCCTTCAGCTTCACATCTGCCCTTTGAGTTTTAGGATGGAATGTAACAGGTCAATGACTACTGGACAAATCCTTTTGTCACTTCTTATTGTGCAGACAACAAATGTTGCCTCAATTTTCAACCTCCCTACACCTCCAATTCTGCATAACAGAAATACACAAGGCAGCCTCACAAAAATATAGTTGGCCCAGTTGAACAGAATCTCTCATAAAAGGTAAAGATCATGAAATATTAAATAATTTTCTTGAAAAAGCAAGTCAAAACCTCAAAGTTTAAGGTCAAAAAAATATTTTCTTTAAATGTTCTCAGTCTTAGATTCTTTATTAAGATTTGAAAATAGGAAGCTATGTAATGCCAAGTACTGACAGCAAAACCTTTACCAGCTCATGTCTCTTTCCTAGAAACACTGAAGGGAAACATGACTGAGTTTAAGCCACTCATTAGCAGTGGTACTGTACCTTGCATCCAGCCTCCATGCCAGGAGGTTTTCAAGACCAAAGCAACCTGCTCCAACCTCACACCTGACCCTGATTTAGGCAGGCAGTCAAACCATCCACACCTCCTGAGGACCCTTCCAACCAGAACTGTATCTACCAGCGACACATGGAAGAACCTGTTTGTATTCCCACTTTGGGAAACAAGAAAAGCAGACAACTAGAATAAAGAACTTCTTGACAAACTGGAAGTCAGGCTGGGACTACTCCCACTGCTGACATTTAAGCTTGCCAGTGCCTGGGGAGTGCACCAATCAAGATCAATACCAAAAGATAAAACCAGATGGGAACTCAAATGTTTAGAGGACTCCCAGAAATATGAGCCTTGCATTCTGCTTACAGTAATGAAGAGAAAAAAATGTGCTGGGCAGAAAAATACATTGACATCATTTCCCCTAAAAAACACAGAAATAAGTGCCCAGACCATGATCTGATTAGATTTACAGCCTTGTCAACCTACTACCTTTCATACACTCCAAGACTAAGAAAGTTGCTATTTGCCATAAGCTGTCACAGCTACTCCCCCACTGCTGAATCAGTGAAGATGCTGCATTAGGCTGGTCCCTGGCCTTATCTGTAGCAAAGCCTCACACGAAAAAACTGACAGTCATCCAGAACTCAGTGGCAGCATCTCCTACCCCTTCCATCCTTCCTTTCTTCTTTCTTCCTCTAGCTTCTCCCTCCTGCTGGCTCTGTCACCTTGGTCAGCAACAGACCTGTCACTCTGAGCCAGGAAGCCCTGTTGAACTCAGCAGATTCACAAAAAGCAATGCAGGACCACAACATGTCTGGCAAAGCAATTGTGCCTCACTCCTGATGTTTGTGCCTTTGGTAAAAGCCACTTTGTTCTCACTACGCCTGAGCACAGCAATGGCATGGAGGGGAAAAAAAAGCAGGGCAGAAGTCAGATTGGCCCTAATTAGATCTGAAAAGAAATCTTCTTTAATATGGTTGTGCTTCGCTTTCTGCCTTCAAACTGCCCAAAAGGAAGAGTTGTGCTATGCCAGATTTTACCAAAGCAGTGCAAGCCACCATCACAAGCTGTAGAATAACAGCAGCAATAACACAGGACCTATGTCAGAGGTGTCCAAAAGAGCAAACCATAGATAAAAGACATGGGTAAGAGGGATCCCAGCAGCAAGACTTGTGATGAAGAGGGACAGCCTGGGTTCATCTGCTCCATCTAATCTGCAGAAATTGTTGACACGAACACAATACCTGCTCCAGTACTGCTGCTTTGAATCTTTGCACTCCCTTCTCTCTCCAGCCCAAGAAGCACTGTTCACTTTCTCCCTTCTTTACAGTTTTCATTAGATTAAGTGCAAATATGTACACTTTGTATATTGGAAAGAAAATCAAACACAATGCTATTAACCTGCTTTGCTTCCCTTCCATTCTAAAAGCATACATTAAAAAAAAAAAAAAAAGCATAATCAGACACTTTTAGAAAGCTGAGTTAAAGCTAGCAAACTTCCATTCCATTCTGTCTTGTTAATTTTTAAACTCCCAGTGGTATGAAAAACCCACATTTTAAGTGTGCTGCATATTTTCAGCACTTTGGAGACACTTCAGTTTGTTTCCAGCAATTTGCTGGAAAATTAACAAAGAGCAGTTGGGCCAATGAAAGATGAAAAAACCAGAAGAACAAACTTCTGAATACAAGACCAAACTCTTAAAGAAAAAAAATAACAAATTAGTTTTCAACCCAGGGAAAACTGAAGTTTCTGATTAACTGTGACATGCTAAAAATACAATTAATCTTAAATCCTAGCATTTTCTCATTTCTCCACACTTAACTAAATCTGCTATCATTCCAAAAAGAAAACTATATGCAAATCATAGGTGCTTCATTTTGTGTATTATAAAGGATAGGGGAAAAAAGTAGGAACTATGGAAAAGACAATCATTATTTCAGACCAGCAAAGGTATAAGCTCATAATCTGTAACTGTTACCATCAGTTTGATTCAAAAAGATGAAACTATCCAGTATTTACTGTCTGAGAGCACCAAAGCTTACAAATTCCAAATGAAAAATAAGCCAAGATGGAAATCTGCAGAAAAGTGGATATTTATAAATACTTTGTAAACAAAACATTAATAAAATATTTATAAGTATAAAACAAGAGTTATCTAACAGCATTTAAACCAATATTTTACCAACACTATCAACAAGAAAGGCTTTAATCCATTATCAAAAATAACTGGAGGTAAGCCATCATTGCCATGTTGCACCATTTAAACCATTATTTTGCAAACACTATCAACAAGAAAGGCTTTACCATTAATCTATTATCAAAAATAACTGGAGGTAAGCCATCACTGCCATGCTGCAGCTAGAAATACTCACATTATGATAATTGATCATTTCCTGTAAGGTGTCAGAGAACTTCATCAAACTGGCCTGTAAAGAGAAAATAAAAGTGGTTTAAGTTAAGCCCTATTAAAAACACAGCACAAAAGCAACAGTTCAAAAGTTTACAGCTTTTCAGTAAAGAACTTGGAAATTGATTTTCCTTACAGCACTATTATGAGACTAAAACCACTAGGCTAGAAGGAGAACATGGCTGCAATAGCAAATAAATCTATTAAAGATACAAGCAACAAAGATGTTACTTCTATCTACCTGTACATACAGCACCAAACTGAAGAAAAGCAGGAAAAATTCAAATTGACTAAAGATATGGGAAGCTCACATAGTCTAAAACATTAATTTACAGTATTTAATATTACACTAATGAATATTTTTCACATTTCAAACTCTTACTCAAAAAACAGGTTATCATGTTGCAATCACCAGCGCACACACTAATCTTAACACATTTTCTGAAATTTGGCAGACCCATGTCACTGCTGAAACTAAACAGCAGAGACACCTGCAGTGCACCACAGCTGGAAAACCCCCACTCTAAAAGAGACAGCAAATAAAAAGGAGCAAAAAGGCAAATAATACTATAAACTTCAACTACTTCTCTTGCCAACTCTTATGTTGTACCTTTTTTAACTTATGTTTCTCTCCTTCCATTTTCACATCAAAGAACTTACCTCAACCAATGTATCTTTACAGGAATATTGTGCAAGGTCTCTAATTCCATTCATGAACTGCTTGTTGGCTGTACAAAATGCCTTCCCAGTGTCAATCATTGCAATACAAAGCTTCACCAGCTAAAATGAATATAAAAAGAGAGAGAAAGCGGAAGGCTTATTTTGATTTGGTTTTCACACCATCATATAAACATGAAAACACTGAGCTTAGTTAAGGCTACAAAACTAAAATTTCAAAATCTCACCCTGAGATTCTGTGAAAAGCTTTCTACTGTATAGTGACAGCTGTGAAAATACTACTCTAGGTCAACAGATAGGCTACTGGGAGAGCTACCATGCTATAAAGTTTTAATATTATTTTTACTCAATTTATTGTTAACTGACATGTTGCACATATTTCAAAAGAGAGTTTTAAATGGGCAAAAAAGTACAGCAACTAAAACATAAATGGTTAGAACCCAAGCAAATGATGAGGTTATTGTGGTTTCTGAGGAGAAACACCACAAAACAAACAAAAACAACCCACACTGGTTGTTTCATCCTCAGACACTCAGAATACAGGCACAGGAAAGAAAAGGGCTCTGCGCAAAGCACAACTGAAGAGCCAAGGTTACATCTCAGGAGGTGAAATCAATCATGTTTCCACTCACAAACAGGCTAATCTCTGATGGCTTTCCACCCCTACCACTCACTGCTTCAGTCAGCACCTCAGGCCTCCTGAGGACAGGAGGGTTCTCAGTATCTTGTCCTGGATGCTTTCCCACTTCTTGAACCATTTATGCACGGGGCCATTAATGTAAGAGATAGTGGTTACTGCAATGGCCACAATGCTCTCTTGAGATGGGGAGCATTAGGATTGAGTTCCCCCACCCTAAGCCAAGCTAAGAATAAAACCAGAAGATTCAACTTTCATCTCTGAAAGATTTTTCAACAATGGTAAATAAATTTTCATGAAAAGAACACAGAAGCACTTGATCCTATGTTGGGGGCAAAGAAACAATCCAAACATCCTTCCTGCCTTAGTTATGCAGTAATTTTTATGTTGACCCAGATTCTTAGGAAAAATGGAAGGCTAAGTGTGATCTTCCACATTCTGATGAATGTCCAAGTTGCTTGAACAATGGACAGAAAAAAAACCCACTATCAACATTAACCTTTTTCCTTCACCTTTGCTTATAGTTCAGAAGCCTGAACCAGGCTTGCTTTCTTCCAGAGAGCATAAAACTGCAGACAACATAGCCCAAAGTCAAAATTGTGAGACAATAAAACCAAGTTTAGTATGAACAACTGATCACAAAAAGTTACCAACCAAGCCTAGACCAGTTATTACCCTCAGGCCATAATTGCTTCAGCTCACCCAAGAAGCTTGGCTTTCAACTTTAGTATTGTACTACAAGGCCCTGAATAATGCCATTTAAGGAATATGAGAATTCTTTTCCCCAAAAACTTTCAGACTAGTGGAAAGGCCAAACTTGCAAGTTTGATTTTTCAGATCCTTTAAACACTTACACTGATCTACCAAAACAGATTCAATACCCCTACAGTAAAAATGTGTGTTATACCCAAAAGTTTCACCAAGATTCACACCAAATCAAAATTAAGGATCCTGAATTTATTTTGCAAGAGCAAATTGTTAGATTATTAGCTACTAAAAACTAGAAATACTATAAAAAGTAGTAAAGAACAAGTCTTCAGGCTTGACACCATCTTTATTTGCCTCCAGCTCTCTGCAGCCAACTCACAGCTGCAGGGAAAAAAGGTTCAAAAAGCAGTTAAGGAGGAAAACAAATGACATCTGCCTGCCATGCGAAAACTCAGATAAAAATAATTTAAAACATTTAAACACAAAGGAAAGAAGACTTTATACAGATGAAAACCAAAAATAAGCCACTCTCAAAATACTAGCAAAGAAATAAACAAAAGTTTCCAAAGTTGAGGAAACCAATAAACAGATATTAAGGAGTTGAAAAGGTGCTAAATATATTTTGTATGCACAAAGCACGACAAAATGCAGGATGAATTTTACAGCAGTCAAGTTCTCCACACAAGAGTGAAGGATATACATACATACATATATATATATACACACACACACACACACACACCTGGCTATAGTGCCTGAGATTACCAGTGACAAACAGCATGAATTTTAAATCTCTAAACCAAGGAGTCCCCAGATGTCCCAGTGCAAGCTGTTGTGGTCAAACAGGCTCTCGGTGCAGCTTTTATCTCACTGGGAGCGGCAGGAGCTCGCAGCGCTCCCCGGGCTGAGTCACAGGGCGCAGTGAGGGCCCCTCAGGAGGGAATTGCACAGGCGAAGCCTCCGCCCAGGGAAGGAGAGAGCGCAGCTGCCCGGTGCTGCTTTGCTCCAGCCTGGCCTCCGAGGCCAGCTGTGAGCTCGACCTGGATCCCTCCCCTCTGCAGAGCAGGCTGCTTGGTCGCCCACTGACACTTTCCAGCTGTGAACTTTCAAACAAAACCGAAACACACTTTCTGATGTTTCTGAGACAAACATTGCTGAATTAAAAGCTTACCTTGTCAAGTTTCAGTTCCAGCTCTGTCACATCTCCTTCTACCTCTTCTAGAGCTGCCCTGCATGCATAAAAGAGGTTTTTCTTTAAAATTTTACACAAAAACACTCTGAGTCTGGGGAGAAGGGGCAGACACACATTCATTTAACTCATTTATTGCCATCACAGTTTTATTTAAATTTCAGTTATAAAACAGCATAGATTTTAAAGAACCACAAGAATTGCAGGAAATTTGATGGTACAAAGAAGAAAAACTACATCACTGCTAAAATGTGGTCTATTGATAAATATTTGAGATCAAATTTTATCAATCCCAATATTTGTCACACCAAAATAGGTTTCTTCTGTTCTTGTATAGACAATAGTCTACATGTTTGAAGCTAACAACAAAGGAAAGAATCTGAAAGTTGGAGGGAATTTTCTTAACTCTTTTGGTGACCTCCTGGCTCAAACCTGCAAATAGTGCAGCTATTTTGTGAATAATCTTGCAATGAAATTCGGAAACAATGCAGCACTTGCCATGTGTCAATTAACCTGCAGGGAGTTCAGATGGCATACTTGATTGGATCATTTACCTCTGGTCTACACTGGTCAAATTTTCCAGGCCAGTCAAAGACTGAGGATGGATGACCCTTTGTTCAGAGTCCATGAACATTGCTGATCCATCAGGCTATTGCCTTGAGAGCCAAATGGACTCATTTCTGGCAAGAAGAGCCCCTGTTGCCATCACAGGGTGCCCATTCTTTCAGTCATTCCAGCATAACTGTTCATGGAGCCACACCGTTTACCAGTAGTAGCCTGTCTTGGGGAAAAAAGGGGAATAGGAAGTTTTCTGAAATGCTTTTTTGGAAAATTGGATCAGACATTTTACATTTCAGTCCTACAGAAAAACCCAGCTCTTCCTGGAAAAAGTTATACAAGCAGAGAAGAATGATTTGGAGCAGGAATTTCTCAAGCCAACTTTATACCACTGAGGAGAGACTACACACAACCACAGCTTTACTGTCTCTTGCTAATTCCATTCTAGTTCACATGAGTACAAGCCAAGAACACAAAAAAAAAAAAAAAAAAATAGGAAAAAAAAAAAAAAAACTGGATCAGGTCCCAAGTTCAGGAAAAGCAGTTTTTTTTACAAGAACAGCTATGAAAAGTGCTGCCAATTGCTTGCAGATCTTGAACACTAAGCATGACATTCCCAGCTTTTGCAGATTTCACTACACATAGTTGCATTCCAATTCTTGTACCTCAATGCATTCCCACAGTTATATCCTAGGTTTTATATCCAAGCAATCCCTATACCTACATTTTGGCTTCTCCCTCTTTGCTAGCTTCAGACTATGAAGGATTTCAGGCAACATCAATTTCTCTTTTGCTCTCTTTCATAACTGATTCATTTCCACTTAAGTCTCTAGTTAATCTTGTTTCGGAAAGCATTAAAGAGAATTTAAAAAACCCAAAACCCAAAGGAAGGAAAAGCATCTCAATATTTATACTGCAATTTTGTATTTGTTTGTTTATAATCACAGTGCAACAAATTTTTATTTGTTTCTTTGGCATTAACATAAAAGCACGATTAGGAAGCTTGTTTACAGAACTGCAGCAAGATCTGATAAGAGTATTATTTTTTCTGTGTCTTTAACTTGCAAAGAGTTCTAGCTCCACAGGACTTAATGAGCTAAAAGTCTAAGATTCAAAATGAACAGAGATAAAGGTAGTTAGAGCAGGCAGAATGAAGACAACACATCTGCTCAGTAATTAAATCTCTATTCCAAGAGACAAATTTTAAGACAGAATAAGCTCAAATGGAAGAAGTACCAGCAGAACATTAAAAAACTGAAACAATGAAGATCAAGAACAAAGAAGTATAAAGCAAAGCAGACAGAGGTCTGAAATGCCAGATCTCTGAAACACCACAGGCCCCTGAGGTACCAGGCTGGTTCTCTGGGCAATTTCCCACCACTGCCATGTGATAGAGGGATGGATATCTAGGCCCTACAGCTGGATATGGATGGAACAGCGGTAGGGTTTCAGCCAAATCCCACTTCAATTCTATGTTTCTTTGCATAGAAATGACTACTTTTTCCACCACATAAAATCTAGCAGAAGTTATTACCATGCAAACATATTTACAGGTATTAGTCGAAAACTGGATTACAATCACAAAAACAATGGAGAGGATGCCCTCAGACTATCAGAATATAGTTATATACATCCAATTATGTACCAACTAGTCACAAAAATTGTCTTCATGTTTTCATCCTGGGCTAGCAATACATGAAAAACAGCTGATCTGAGCTGTGCTATGTTAATGCTACCCTTGTTTTTCTTAATTTAATACTTTTTGAAGTCACAGAATGCAAAGGTGCATTTCTCTCTGAAACATCTGTGTCAGGCATAAAGTTCACAGAAAACTGCCATAATTCTGAGTAAATGTCATGTCCACAGCCAAGCCCAACTGTCCAGCTATAAACACAGGAAGTGCTGGTGAAACAGCTGAGGACCAAGTGCCAGACCTGACATGTAACAAAACTGTTGCTCCTTAGTGAAATGGGAGCTGGGAGCAAGATTTGAGTCACAGTGATCTCAGCCAGAAGGCTCCAGCAATAGGAATAAGGATCAAATCAGGTCCAGTGTATGAGTCAAACATCTGTGGCTTCCCAAGATGTTCAAATACTGCATGGCAACGCACAAAACCAGAACAGCTGCTTAAGGGTGGAGGACAATTATAAATGAGCAGTCTCCCATACTCTTCATGCTCTGTAATGAGGACTCTCAGGAATGTGTTTCTTTGCTCTGCTGTGACTTCTCTCCTCCACCACCCCCTAAAGCACAGCTCAGTTTGCTAGATACAGCTTCCTGAACAGCTGCAATGCAGGAGGAATACAGGAGATAATGGAAGAAAACTCAAGACCTGACTTGGTAGCCTTTTAAAATGAGGATAATGTCACCAGTTACCCAGCCCAGCATATGTGAAGGACAGCTGAACTCTGACATCCATCACAGCACTCCCTTTAAGTGACCAGTAAAAGACTTTCTCCCAGTTTAAGGTACTACAAAAACCCCAGGAACCAAACAGAATGATGACGGATAAACTGTCCTCCAAAAAAACTGGGTCACAATACACTGCTGACCAGAACACCACACACACCATGGCCATGGACAGGGGTCTGCAGGGCCTGTTTGCTCTCACAGAAGGTGGTGATTGCCAGCGTTTTTAAATCCAGCTCCTCTTCAAAGAAAGTCTAATTGCTATTGAAGCCACCCTGCCTTTAGTCTTTTGCTCATTCGTTCATTGTATTCTATTTTGCATATTCAGATTGTGCTCCTGAAAATGAAAAGGCTGGAATCAGTGGTCACTCTAAATCAGATGCTGATAAACAACAAACTGAAGAGGTAAAAGGTGCTATGGGCAACTGACTAATATTTATTAACTCTAGAAATAATACATCACTATAAAAATATTCAGAATAATAAAAGCCCAACAATAAAATATTTTCCAATCGTGTGTGTGTGTGGTTTTTTTTTTCTTTTAATTGAGAAAAGTTTCAATCAATTTATTGACTATACTTTCAGAAGAACAGGAACATGTCACAAAATCAATTTCTATTCATTCTGGGTCTTTTGAATACATTCATATATTTGGACTCATGAAATGGAAATAATGGATTTTTACCACTGCAGTTTCAATGGAATTACTGCTAAAGCCTTGTCCTCAAATCTTAGAAAGAGACAGCTCTCTTACTTGCACATATTCTATCCAGAATAGCTCCTTAATGCACAACTTACTCTTCACTAGAGATGACATGCTTTCAGCCAACATCCACTAAACTTTCAAGACAGCTTGAAAGGAAAAGGTACTACTGAATGTAAAAACCTGGAAATGAGATACAAATTGCAAGATAAGAATATGAACCTGATGATTTACACGAATGTCTCCTCCTCTGTGTCAGAGCCTATTAGGTGACAGATAGCAAAAAGGAGAGCAGACATTAATCAGAGGATAGACTATGACCCACAGTGTGATGCAAAGGCAAATTAAAATGCAGCTGTACCACAGAAGATATTACACTGCTCACCTGCTTGGTCTGGTTTGTCTTTGCCTCTCACTCCCTTTCCTCCCACAGCAGCTGCATCTTGGGATCACCCTTCAGACACAAAGCAACTGCTCACAGGTGAGTTCAGAAACAGCCACAGACAGACTGCTGAGGGCAGCCTCAGGCTGGGGAACACACACACCACTGTGACTAATGCCACTGGACACTGCCACTGTTCACTGCTCACCAAGGGCCACCAGGTTGCAAAGGTCCCTGTCCACCAGCACAGCCGTGCTGTTACTTTTCAGAGGAAGTCTTCACATTTGTCTGGGTTAAACTGAAGGAGCTTTCTACCTGTGCTTTCCCCTACCTTGCTGAGGTCCTGCTGGATGGCAGACCTACCCTCCAGCTTCTCACGGTTCCCTCCAATTACTGTCTACTTCATGTCATTTCCTTCATATATAATGAGATATACAAAGGTGTCCAGAGGCACGTTAACCAGCTTGCCAAGAAGGAACACAGTTGGTACATGTGTTATGGCATCAGAAACCGGAGACTAAAAAAGAAACATGACATTATTGAGGAACAAAGAAGGCATACATGGAACAATAAGGCCTAATAACTTTGGATAACAGCATGGACAGATATAAGAAGAGTTTTACAACTCACGAGATGTGTCATAACCTTTAAAATGGTCTAAAGAAAGAACACTGTTGCAGCCTGTCATAGAGCCCATTGAAGTCCTGGTTTGGCACTGCAGAGTTTTTCCCCCACTGGCACAGAGCCCCTCCATACTGAGGAACAGATGATGAACTCTCCCTGACACACTAAGATAAAATTCCTCATTCATGCTAGTACTCCCTTCATTATTAATTCTTCAGTCATTGCCACACAACATTTCATCAATAGCTTGGAAAAACTTCTATGTGCCCTACATGAACAGTAGGGTTTTTAATCAAAAAGTTAAACCCCCACCCTGAAATCCTAGAAATTTTCTATAAGCTTGGGAGATTGAAATATGGAAGAG